TAAATATATGCATATTGTCTTGAAAGCCAGATACACATGTGTGGCACTTGCAGAATATTTGCAGTTACGCACATAAGACTATAGGTGGTAATTGTGCATGAATATTGTTCAACCTCCCGCAACAACCATTAAAAGGCAAGTTCCTCCTTAGAAAATGTTTTAGATAATGGTGGGAAAATAAGAAAGGAAGAATAATAATAAACTATTGAGGGAGCAGACAATTTACACCTCTATGAGCACAGATGTATATGTCTTTTTTTTTCCACTGGCCAGGAACTGAAGGCTCTATAGTATAAGATGATGTTCAACATCTTCGTGTGGAGAGGACACAGAGACATTTGGTTTTGGGGTGCAGATTGTCCACTCCGTCTACTGGATCATATTGTTTTTCTCTAGGTTTAGTACAGCTGTATAGATGGTGTAAGGGGTCCAGTAGCATCTGCACACCTCCTATTAAGGTGCGGTTTGCAGTATAGATCACGCACATTGATACAGGAAAACAGCTCCACTATTTGATTTAATTACCAGTTTTGAAACAGATTGCAAAGCAGACCCTCTGGCAGAAACAATTAAACTTTGTCTTGTCTATAGAAATCATGGCCAAACATAGGGTAATGGCTGATTTGTGAGAGCTGGGAGGAAACAGATTCTTCCATAATTGCCTTGTTCAGTCTGCACACGTCTAAGTGCTTACAGAGCAATTGGAAACTCTGGAATTTTAGTTGTTTTTGCATTATAGATCCCAAATTGGGTTAAGGTCAACTGCGAGCAATCAGCTCTCTCACCAAGCCAGTTATAATCTTTTATTTCACACAAATGTGTTCTGGTTTGCTCACAAAAGGTTGATGGTAGTTGTTGTCTGACCAACCTGGAAGTGCTTTTGAGTGCCCACGAATAAAACCTTCAAGTACCCCTCAGAAAACATTAAAAAATAAATCAGTATTAAACTGGTATGTTTGAAGAACAGTATGTTTGCAGTTTGTTGGTAAATAATTGTTTGGGGTTATAACAAAAAAACAATACCCAAAAGTGAACCACTGAGTGGCATCATGATGTTTTGTCACAGCTAAATCCCAGCACCTCCCTCTAGCCAACAAGCAGACTCCACTCACATTGCCGCTGCCAGTATGCGACTCTGGAATCCGGCCTCTGGTATACCACAAATGGCGCCATCCGCACCCTGTGCCAAATCTGATCCTCCCACTACTTCATGAAACCCTGTGAAGGTGGAGCACATTGATGTCACGTCGGAATGTGACTTGGCGTTGTGTGCCTCCATGCACCTCCAGGTACTCCACTGTCCAGTCGCAGCCAATGCAACACTGACCAAAACACACACACTCTCACTGACAGACACACACTCACTGACACACACATTCACTGACAGACACACACACAGTCACTGACAGACACACAGACACTGACATACACACACTCACAGACACACACACACACACTCAAAGACACACACACACAGACACACACACACACTCAAAGACACACACACACACACATTCTTTTCTTTATTACTCCCTACCTTTTGGAGCCAATGTGGGGCATCTCCCTGGGGTCCTTCTATACGCTCCTCACTGCTCCCTCGCGCAGTTTAGTGATGCCGGGTGCCAGAATACAACGTCATATTCCGGCGCCCGGCTTCACTTCATACGGCGTGCAAGGGAGCTGTGAGGAGCAGGAACGCTGAGCTCCCTCGTTGGCCCTCCTCCCTGGCCGGGTAAGTTTTAGCAGAGTAGGCACCTGCAATGTGGGGAGTTTGACATGCTTCTGGTAGAGTCTTCAATTTCCAGAGCTTGAGCATTAGGGACTTTCTCGCATTTAAAGAGGTGTGATAAAATATTTTTTTTTTTTATATTTGGAAATTGGAAGGTTGGTATGGTGTAGTATTTGTTGCAATGAAAATCGGTAAGGTCTATTCCACATACTGCTTTGATAATTGCATGTACACCTTGCCAAAAGGACTTAATGCTTCCACAATCTAAGGGCAAATATTTGCTCTGACCCAAGTGGCTCCTCCTGCATCTAAAAAAGGGGGGATTGGAAGTTGAATTTCTCAGTAGTGGTGCTGCTTTAAAGACCAACATATATAAAATACAGATTAAGGAACAGCACACATACACAAAATTGTTTTAAATTTTACAAGGCCACTTAAAATCAACTATCTTAGCAAGAAACTATAGGGATTTAGTTACATCATACGTCACAGTACCCGGAGGATCATACATTAATTTTAACATGGGAGATTTATATGCTAACTGCAATGCTCACTGAGTCCTTTCCTGGGTTCACCTCCACCTGCCTCCATTTTGTGGATTTTTTGGTAATTTAGTGCCTTTGGTTTAAAAGTCATGTAAAATACTAAACCCAATAAACCCTTTCAATGAGGGGTTTCCTTGAATATACCCAGGGTGCATACTGTGTTGGGGATCAGTTTGAGAGAATAAAAGTTAATACTACAGAGTTCATCATTGCACATTGCGATTTGCCCAAATCTGTGAAAAGTAATTCGTAATTCTCTAGTGGTAAATTGATGACAAATATGATGCTTCAGGCAGTATTAAAATGTATGGTAATTTTACCATCAACTGTTCTCATTCATTATGGATGTAAATTAAAATCAAATCTGAAGTATAGATATTGTGTTGTGCTGCATACGAATCATGTGGCCATAATTTGTAGAAGAAAACATGGAACATCACATCACCCTTCCTGTTTTACACTTGAAAAATAAAAATTTTATTTGAACGGTATGTTGGATCATTTGGGGGGTTTGCAGTGATTTTATGGAAGACTAAAGAATTTTTATAGTGATTTATAGCTTAAACTATTTTGCTTACGTAGAAGAAGCATAGGTGCCAACAGTCATGGATTTGCTGTGACAGTTCCCGATGTGGAGGTACTGTACTAAAAAATGTAGGTCCTGCATTTTGAAATCTAACGGAAGATTTCAAAAAGCAAGAGTGCACTGATCACTAGGACCATGCACGGAGGGCTTTAGCAGTGCTCCATGCATGGTCTGCTGCAGGGTGTCGGCTGTCATCCTTCTTTCAGGTGGACATGACTCCTTTACCCTTTGGCAGATGGACCCACCCCATTTGAGTTCCAGTAAGTCGCTAGAGGTGAACAGGAAATGTTGGTTAGTAGATAGAGCATGGTACAAGGAGGTTACCTATCCTGTCTCTTTGCAAGCATTGTCTTAAAAATTCATTGATGATTAAATTTAGCTGCAGCTATAAGCACACCTCTTCTCTCACAGAGTGATGAGCCAAAGGACACATGCCCAAAGGCAAATGCCCATCTAGGCACTTGTATAGCATGTGTCCACTGGGAATCCATTCCTCAAACAGGTTCTTTGACTGTCTGCTCACATATCATATTATGTAATAGTCTATAGTTTCATTCACTAATAAGCTGTGAAAACAGTTATCAATAAACTGATATCTGATGAATATGCTTCCAAGTTCTGAAACAATGACAAAGATAGAATAGGGTGACAGGTGTCCGCTGCTGTGTAATGTGAGCAGAGCTCACTGACGAATTGCTATAAAAAACACTAACCTCAAAGGTATATATTTTATTTATTTGCATAATTCATTGCATTAGCTATATAATGAATTAATAATTTTAAAAAAGTAGGTCAAGTGGCGAGTTAAGATTGTCATGAATTATAAATTCACAAATCATTTTTACATTGAAAATGTATCTTGATCTAATAAAGTGGTGAGTAACTTTTACACGTTAACATCTCAAACTGAAAACACACGTTAAAAAGTTCTGGCCAATTGTGAGATACAATATTTTAAGAATTAATGGCATAATAAATCCAAGAATTTTTTATTTTTTTTAAACACAAGGTTTGTTTATTTTACATTATCTTTTCCAAATGTGGCTATTTTCATTCTCCTTACTTGCAGTTCAGTTGTTAAAATTATTTAAAGGTTCACTTTATTCACATTAAACCAAATTAAATCCACATTGACCTGAATGGGTTTCCCAAATTTTCAAACATCTCATGGCAGCAGTTAGATTCATCTGAGAATATCTGCATCTGAATAGTAACCAAATGGCAACAGAATGACAGTGGAAAATCACTAACATGAATAAATAAATACAAAATTCTATAATACATACACCTGTAATATGTAACAGTGTTGTTTCTACATGTTTGATTATTACACTTTAGCAGTTTCTCCTCCCATCTGATTGATGGCTGTCTGAAAAAGCTGTTTAGAGCAGTTTGACATGTGTAACAGATCAACTTTTGTGACATATCTGACATCTTAATTTCCTTCCAGGTAGTGAGAGATCCCAAATCGTGACATGTGGGATAAACTCTCTCCTAACCGGAGTAGGTTGAAACACACCTTGTGCAATGATTGAACTGTTGATATTTGAGATGTATTAGCACAGCAGAAGCATGTAGGGAAGCGCACACATTAAAAGATATGAGAGGAAAAATGGCTCCATAGCAAGAGGAAAAGGGAAAGTTAAGAAAGACAAAACAATCTCCCCTATAGCACCACTTGCTTTACCATCCCAGTCCAGCATCAGCACTATTTGGAAGGTATGCTACATTATACATTATGCATGCATAGTATTTCCAAACATGTAAAGCCAGGTTTTTCTTGCATGATAAATTATGATACACTGCATTGTATCAGAAGATTGCGTTACTGATTTATGGCAGTGATAGACAACTTTCACCATCATACAATGTTATGGACTACACCCTACCTGGTGTTTTGCCAGCATTAAAGGAACACTATAGTGTTCCCTTTAAAAAGGTGATTTTACGCACCTTTTTTCCAGAGCTGCACCGGTCTCACTCCTTTTCTGTAGTTGAAATCATCAGATTTGTCCTCAGCCAATCCAATGGTTTCCCAAAGGAAAGCATTAAGAGTATATTGTGCATGCACCGCAAAACGCAGCGCCAATCAGCATATCCTCATAGAGATCCACATAATCAATGCATCTCTATAGGGAGCGTACAGTGTCTCCATGTAGAGCGTGAAGACATTCAAGGTGGGTGCTGCACACAGTGCAGAACTGACCCAGTAAGCACCTCTAGTAGCCATCTGAGTAGTTTCCACCAGGTGTTTCTCTGAAAAGCATTGTTTACATTAAAAAGTCTGCATGGGCGTACTCAAGACACCAGAACCACTGCATTAAGCTGTAGTTGTCCTGGTTACTACAGCATCCCTTTAAGGCTGCAAGAGCATTATGGGAGATGTAGCCTACCACAAACATAGGATTTATAGTGCTTAGACTTATATGGGTACCATTCCTCTGGTATATATCAGAGGTACTGTATAAAATGAATGAAGTAGGGGTTGTTTGCAAATTAAACTCTTCACAAACAGTTGAATTGCAAATATATATACTGGTATATTTGTCCGATTTGAACAGGTAGCTGGACAGACTCTTTTGCAGCTAGTAAAAATGATGTTGACATAGAAAAGTCTCTTCAAACTGGTAAATATGAACTTTAAAATACCAATAGGTTGCTGTTCAACACCGAGTAAACAAAAAAAAATAAAAAAAAATTTGTAGAGTTATTAATTTTATTGTGACTTAATAATTAGCATTTAATTTTCCATCCAAAATAGCAGAACTGGAAACCACTGACTTGAAGCGTTTTTTTCCAATTCAACTATTTTGGTAAAAATTAGAAAATTAACTTTTGTCACCAAGTCACAATTTATTGAATAACACTTTTTTGGAATGATTATACCATCGCATACTCAAATCGTGTTATTTGAAAGTTTCAGTGAGATGCATTTCATCATACCTCACTTGAAAATCTATAGCTCAAGTAGCATTGGGCAACTGCTTATGCTATACAAAGAAAATAAAAAATACTGCAAATATGCAGATCTCAAACACTCTCAAAAAAAGAGCTAAATTACACACAGCAAATCAGGCATCCCAATCTGTGCCCCCAGTGTAAGAGCAGATAAACAGCAAGTTTTCAGAGATCCTCTAGAACAGAACATTTAAATATCATGCTCACAATCCCCCAATCTTACCTAAAATAAAATAAAATAAAATTAAAAAAACAAACACACAATGTAAATGTCCCTACATCATAATATATCAAGGCATGCCTGACATGCTCCTAAGTGCATAAGAAGGTGAGCAAAGCATCACATAGCATTGCCAGCACTCAGATGGGCTAGAGAAGAGAACCTTGAATATTCTCTGCATAAATATGATACTATGTTTATATCACCCTTTATGGAGGCTCCACTCTTGCTTTTTCCCTTATGATACACCTGAGCATAAAGTCATCAAGTCTTCTGGTTTATTATGAAAAGTAGCTGTGTGAGAAAGTGGGTGTGTTCTGCTACAAAGTATCAAGCGCAGATAACAGAACACAAAGAGCAGCCCTGTAACGTTCTACACTCTCCTCTCGCGGCACATCGGGTGTTAATTCCTCTGCAGTGATGCAGGGGCGGCACGCAGAGTGTTAATTCTTCTGCAATGTTGCAGGGTGACTGAGATATGGTTTGGTTTCAGCTGATGTTCTGTCAGCAGGGGAGGAGGGCACCACCAGCTAGAGTGGAATGGGAGTCACGTGACGCTCGCTCTCTCTCTCACTGAAAAAGATCTTGCAGAAGTGAATGCTCTGCCAATGGCAATGCAGGGCTGCAGAGCAGGATAAGGCATTGAGCTCTGCACAGCACTCGCAGTCAACATCGTGGCAGTCTAAAAAAAACAGAGAGGGAGCAAGCACCATGTCTCAGAGGTGGTTTGACCGGGTGAGGGTGCCCGATTCTGCACCCACTGGAATGCACAGAGCAATGTTGGTAAAGTCTGGTAAGTATGTGCCTCTTATTACTTCATCTAATCTCCCAAGGGGGGCAGGTGACCTGGGCAGTGGGTGTTTCTGACCCCCCTTCCATTCATATCCCTGTGTTGGTGTGATTGCATGGCTTGGGTCTGTGGCTAATACCTGCATCGCCCCTTGGAAACAGACAGAGAGACCTGTTAATCATTGTTGTGGTAAATCAGATCCTGCTGAAATGAATAGAGGGCACGCATTGGGACATCGTTTGCTTTCAGCATACATCACCCCATTTGCCTCTTGAGTGTGGGGTTGTTTTTTTTTAGGATTTTATTTTTCATTTTAGTGGAACATGGCTCTAGGTGATGATGTCAGGGCTTGTTTGTTGCTTCTGGATTCGTACAAATAGAAATATCTTACAAAGGTTAAACTATGTCTTGTTTTGTACAAGCACGTCTTCTGTATGGGGTTAGGATTTAAGAGGTTCTGCAGCAGCTGCACGGTTAAACCTATGTGTGCATTATAGAGAGAGTGAATCTTCCTAGTGACTAAGGGGTTCTATATTGGCAAGTTTCACTATGAAGTTGGCAGTCCAGAAATCTAGATAATCATAGGAGTGGATGGATTATGCTGGTGACTGATTCCACGAGAAGAGGGCTATGAGATAAAACACCCTATAGATGTACTCCAGCTCACCGCCTATGAAATGGAAATTCCTATTCTCTAGATTACATACCATGTACTTTTGGATCCTCTGTGAGACTATTTCCTGAGACCAGATTACAACAAGTGTAATTTGTTAATCAATGCAGAATAGCCATGCAACTAGCACTTAAAGGGTTACTCAAACCAAAAAAACAGTGTTTTAAAGGGACACTACAGTCACCAGAACAACTACAGCTTAATGTTTGTTCTTCTGGTGTCTACAGCCTGTCCCTGCAGGCTTTGTAATGTAAATACTGCTTTGAGAAAAGGTAGTGTTTACATTACTGCCTAGTAACACCTCTAATGGTAGTCACTCAGATGGCCACTAGAGGTGCTTTCTAAGTCAGTGATGAGCACATTTAGCATCTCCACGCTGTGCATGGAGGCGCCGAACGTTCCTCATAGAGATGCACTAATTCAATGCATCTTTATGAGGAGATACTGATTGGTGTAGCATTTGCCACAAATGCATAATAGCCTCCCAATGCTTTCCTATGGGAAAGCTTTGGATTGTCTGAGATCATCACGTTTGAGTGACCATCGGACCTACGTGACCATGGAAAAAGGTGAGTTTTATATCTTTTTAACCTGAGCCGAGAGGGGCTTGAGGCCTAAACTGCGGTTTCCAAACTATAGTGTCAGGAATAGACGCTTGTATTCCTGATACTATAGTGTTCCTTTAAAAAAATAAATAAACCAATGATTTTGGCTGGTGTAACCTCCCCTAGCATTGGTCTGCCCCTTCAAAACTAAATAAATGCTAAAACTTACCTTGGTTCCAGCGGGGGAAGAGGCCAGGTTTGTCGGAATGATGAAAGGAAAGGGATGGCATGGGCTTTCTGGCACCAGTAAGCTATACATGTTGGCAATTTTGTGCAATTTTGCACAGAATTAACATTTGTTCCTGGCTAGCTATTGATGCTACCTGAGGTTGAATTACACCTAGTAGGAAAGATTTTTTGTAAAGCACATTACATCGTTTTATAAAAAAAATAAAAAAATTCAGCAACTTTGAATTAGAAATATTATGGGAAGCTAATACAACTAAAATAAATGCTAAACATTAACACAATTAGTTATTTGCATTTAGCTTCAGTACCATAGTAATCTAAGCAGACAGTGTTCATAAAATTTCATAACTATAAATATATTCACAAAACTGTTTTAGTTACATGTTGACTAGATGGTAAAACTGTACACGTGTTCTTTAAACATGTGATTTTGTAAAAGTGCAATTTTACTAAGTATTTATCTTAGTAGCACAATTATGCTTTAGAGTTTATGCAAAGGCATTTTGTCCCCCTTGTCAATGTAGCGATCTGGGTGCAGGGTCCTCTAGTTTTAACCCTTGTAAACCATTGCAGTTTAGTAAATACGGCAATGCTTATATTGCAGGGTTAAATACACCTCTAGTAGCGGTCTACCTGACACTCATTAGAGGCCCCTCCACTGTGAGACCTGAGTTGCGCATGCACTTTTAGTGCCCATTGGATTGGACTGTTCGATCTGTCAGTGTGATGTCATAGGAGGCAGGACAAGCAACTGCAGGGAAATTTTTTTAAGAAGTACTCTATTTCCCCCCCCCCACCCCCAATTTTATTTAAATTTAGGGGGACCCTGAATTTTAATAAAGAGAAGAACAATGTAATGTTAGGACTACAGATTTGTATTACTAATGCTATAGAGTTGCTCTGTCACCCACTAGTCACTTAAAGGGACACACCAGACATAAAAGCAACCTAATCTAAGTTAATTTGTTATGGTGCCCAGGCCACTGGAAGCACTTTTATCTCAAGTGGTTAAATTGTTCTCAAACGGTTTAACCCCAACGTTGCCACAAGCGGTGATGACCACTCACCCCCACCACCTTCCCACTTCCACCAGCAGCATCCGGTTTCTGAAATTTCAGATTCAGGAGTGCTGCCGGGCAGAGGCTAAGAGCCGTCAACTGATGCTCTCAAGCAATCAGTGACCCCCCATTCACAAAACTGGCTTGAAAAAGCTTGTTTCTTTTCAAACCAGTTTTGTGAATAGGGAGTCACTGATGGCTGAGAGCATCAGCTGACCACTCTCAGCCATTCAGTGGTGCCCCTCCCCAGTGGCACTCCACACTTCCTGAAATTGATATTTCATAAGCCGGATGCTGACAGGAGGGGGGGTGCACATCGCCGCTAGAGGCAACGTAGGGGTTAAATCGTTCAATAACGGTTTAACCGATTGAGGTAAAAGTGCCTCTGGGGGCCTCGTGGCACCATAGCAACATCATTTAATGAAGTTATTTTGGTGCCTGGAGTGTCCTTTTAAGGAGTATTTCAAAAAGATAGAATTTTGTTTATGAAATACTTAATGTTGACTGTGTTGGAATTTCGTTGAAATTCAAAAAAATATATGAAAAAGTAGAGACTACATTGTTTTATGGGCTAAGATGCATAGAGTCAACTGTCACTTTTTCTTGGTTCCTACAGCTGTGGTCTATGAATCATTATACCTTGAATAGAGAATTAAAATACAGAATGCTAAAGATTTGCCTTTATATTTTTTTCCCCAAATAACATGCATAATAAGCAGAATGTGCAAGAATACATATAATCTGCTATTGGTCTTATAAAGAAACAATTGTTATTTTTGGGAAGGAAGTTTCTGATTCTGACAGTGCAATCAGAATGTAAGCACCCACACACTGTTGGCAGGGCACATCATGTACCTAGTGCCCTTGCTACCTCCTCCTTCCCAGAGTGCTTATCAACATTCCTGTACATCAAGCATGTCAAACTCAAAGGCTAACACGGGCCAAATAAACAAGGTTTATGTGGGCCGCAAAAGAACAAAAACATCAGTTTTAATAGAAACGTAGGTTTATTTCGAAAAGTATAGTATAAAAAAAGTTGCCTAACTGACACTGGACTTCCTCATGCTTGTTGGGCTTCAAAGTAAACAAAAGAGCGAATTTATATTAAGGAGATGTGCATTTGCATATAACCAACGTTTCAGTTCAACTACCTTGACATATTAAGAAATGTTTGGTAATGGGACTGAAATGGTGAATGTATGCTATTGCACAGCTGTAAAAAACAAATTACATTATCTTGTTTATTTTGAAGTTCTATGAGTGTGTTCTTCACTTTGGCTGAGATCATCAAACTTGATGATCTCAGCCATTCCAATGCTATGGAGGCTATTGAGCATGTGTGGCAAAGAGCTGCACGGCCATACAGCATCTCCATGGGAAGCGTTCAGCGCCTCCATGAAGACCCAATCTAACACACTGCCCCTCTTCCCATTATAATGCACCGCCCACAAATCCAATACGTTGCACCCCTCTCTCCACTGTTATACACTTCCCCCTTCACCCAATCTAATACATTGCCCCTTAATCTAATACACTGCCCCTCCTCCCTCCACTCTAATTGAATAGGCTGCCCCCCACTCCACACTGCCCTCCCTACCACTAATTTAACACACTAGCCCCTTCCCCAAATGAATACAGTGCCCCCTCCCTCCCTCAAATAAACAAAATACACTGGCCCCCTACCCTCCTCAAATAAATGCACTGCCCCCTCCCCGATTTATCACAATGGCCCCCTGACTTCCCCAAACCAATACAGTGCCCCCTCCCTCCGATTAACGTACTGCCCCCCTCCCTCCCATTAATACCCTCCCCTCTCTCCCTTCCATTAATAAACTGCCACCCCTTCCTCCCTCCCATTAATACACTGCCCCCCTCCCCAATGTAATACACCGTACCTTCCCTCTCTTAAATTAATACACTGCGCCCCCCTCCCAATCACTGGCGTACATACCGCCAGGTATGAATGCCAGTTTGCCAGCCTCTTCTCCTGGGGGGCCCAGGAGCTGGCAGTGCTGTCACCGGACGGGCAGGCGCACGAGGGAGCATTCTCCCCTGAGCGCTCTCTGCCCAGTGGTCCTATAGTGGTCCTTTAAGTGTATGTATCTGCATGCAGTGGCGCACATGTGCCCGCCGCCATGTGTTGCAGCCCGCGCAGAGTAAGCGAGGGGGGGGCGAATCAATTTTCGCACCGGGGCCCCGTGGATAGTTTGTACACCACTGCTCCCATTAATACACTGCCCGCCTCTCCCTCAAGAGAGAGTGTGTGACAAGTAGGTGGAGTGTTAAAAAAATAAATAAATAAAAAATCTGTGAAATCTTAATACCTAAAGAGGAATCATCACAATCTAAATTTTAGCACAATCTAATGGCTATCTAAAAGGATTTCTCCACCTACACAAGTAGAAGCATCCTTTTATTTTTTATTTTTACTGCCGCCGAGTAATTAACTCAAGTAATCAATGAAATAGCCACTGGGGTGAAGTAACAAGGGAATGTCACTTCTTTGGAAGTGGCAGTTCCTCTTGCACACCATAACAATTTCATTGTTAATAAGTTGTTATGGTGGTAGCAGTGCTTGGGTACTGTCTTACTGCCAGGGCTTTAGCCCTTTACAAATGGTTTACCTCTGAAGTTGCACCATTAGCCCTCAATACTCCTTGGCTGCCACACAGTACAGGAAGGATTTGTCTTGGCAGCCAATGGTAAACTGAGGGCGTCAGCCAGCAGTACTGTTATTAGCAATGTGCGTCCAGTTATAGGCTGACAACATCAGGTGAAACTCTCAGCCCATCACTGAACAAACAGGAAAAAACGTCTCTACTGGATAACAGTTTAACCCCTAAAGGTAAGATTGCGCCCATTGACTATAGCCCCCATAACAAAGTAATTGAGATTAAATTATAGGGGCTTAAAAAGTGTTTCTTTCTCCAGTGTACAATATATGAACAAAGAAAAAAAAAACCATAGTGAACCCCGTGTAACACAATTTACAGCCAAGGTCATAAATGAAAACTCACATAAATTAGACCCATTAAAACAATTGGCTCTGGTTGAATAAATTACTGAACCAACAATGCGGTCTCACAAGTGTTGAACCTTAAATGGAAATATGTATATAGGATCTCACAGTAAATAGGCTGGAAAACAATTCAGCAGAAGCATAGAGAGGTGTATGGGTAAACTCACATGTGTATGAGCCCAAAACACAGTCTCAAACTAGTCACACAATATTTACCAAAGTGTTCAGAAAAGTGGTGTTTTAATTTCATCATCAGTTCCAAATAAAGACTTCTGAATATAGAGTAGTAGAGAAAAAAACAAACTCAGACTGAATACAAGCCATTTTTCAGCAACTGATTTATCAGAAATGATGGTAAGGGATTAAGAGAAGAAACAATGAAAAAATATAACAAATAGCACAAAAAAACTTAAAAATTAAATGTAAAAGATTCAGTAACCGTTTTCCTAAATCTCCACCAATGGTGCGTGAAATGTATATCTGCCACTCATTTGAAATTCTCTTTACATGGTTTTATAAATACTTTTTCTTTCATCGCATTGTTAATAGTAAATGACTCCTAAACTATACAAATACAGATTGTTTTACTGTATTTTATCATAGCTAATGTTGTCTTCAGAAGTATGGAGGATGTCACCCTTATTGACACCATGATATTTTCTGTTTGAGCTGACGTTGTGGGCTCATACAAATGTGAGTTTACCCTTATATCTCTTAACCATCCTACTGAATGTTTACAGTCTATGCTATTTAATTCCATACATGTGTTACCATGTATGGTCCAGTCCACCATATGTCCAAGGAGTGCAGCAACCTTATTGGCTCATATATCTAGTGTTTTATTGGCTCTAGTTTATATGGGTGTTCTTGTGACTTTCACTACATATATAAAGTGTTATAGAGGCTTAACTATGGCTTGTTTATGTATTGTACACTGGAGAGCACTTCACCTATTGTCACTGTTTTTCGTTATTGGTGTTTTAGTGGTTATTGATCGTACTACTTGTTCAAATAGCACTATTTTGTATAATAATTTTGATATCAAACCAAATCTTAACGTATCTATACATGTTGTTGGATGCAAAGTTGTTAATTTTCATGTACATTATCATTTTCTTTTGATGATCCAAATGAATGATTCTATGTAATTAACACCCCTTTGAGATTGTTTATATCTTGCAAATTAAGAGTTATGACAACTTTATGCAGCTTGTCATGGCAAGTGACTTTTTTTAGATTAAGTGCATAAAGTGGCAGCAGGAGTACAAGAAAAATATGATAACGAGAGAAACTGAATACATAGTGGACTTTGAGATTTTTTTTCTAGTTGAGCATCTTATATGAGAATTTCACTTTTAATTCACTTGACCCGAGAGTTCTCGCTTTAGTTTAGCCTTGTAAGTGTAAGAAATTAGAACTGTCACTTTAACAGAAATCCCCTACCCCTTAGACCAGGGGTCCTCAAACTGTGGCCCACCAGATGTTGCTGAACTACAACTCTAATAATTCTCTGGCTATCTATGTAATTCAAAGAATCATGGGAGTTGTAGTTCAGCAACATCTGGAGGGCCACAGTTTGAGGACCCCTGCCTTAGACTATGACTACAGTTATGCCCAAAAGTTTGCAGACCCTTGGAGAATTGGTAATATAAGTTCCAATTTAAAAACAAATATGAGTGAGTAGGCAAAACACATTTCTTTTATTTCTTATGGAATTCATATACAACTGTAGGGTATAACAGAATAGCACAATCATAAAACAAAACATGGCAACAAAGAAAAAAAATTTAATGTCTTCATACTCAGTTCTTAATATTGTGTATTGCCCCTTTTAGCATCAATGCAAGCGTGCAGTCTTTTGTAATAGTTGTCTATTAGGCCCCTAATTCTTGCAGGTGGTATAGCTGCCCATTCGTCTTGGAAAAATGCCTGCAGGTCATGCAAAGTCTTTGGTCGTATTGCATGAACCGCACATTTGAGATCTCCCCAGAGTGGCTCGATGATAATTAGGTCAGAAGACTGTGATGGCCACTCCATAACCTTCACTTATTTCTGCTGTAACCACTGGAGGGTCAACTTGGCCTTGTGCTTAGAGTCATTGTCATACTGGAAAGTTCAAGAGCATCCCATGCACAGCCTTCGTGCAGAAGAATGCAAATTGGCTGCCAGTATTTTCTGATAACATGCTGCATTCATATTGCCATCAATTTTCACAAGATTCCCAATGCCTTTAGAGCTCACATCCCCCCAAACATCAGTAAGCCACCACCATGCTTCACAGTGGGGATGTTATTATTTTTACTATAGGCCTTTGTGACGGTAGTCACCGTCACTGGGGATGGAAGACAGACACTATGTGTGGGTCCCTAGATTCCTTTTGTGTTTTAGTCACCCTGTGCCCTTTATTGGTGCAGGGTATGTTGAATGTATTGTTTGTCTGTGCCTCTCTCCTCCCCCTTTTTCCTGTCCTATTGTTTCCTCAGCAGGGCATTGTCCCAGGGACACTGCCAGACCAGTTTGAACTAACTGCCCTGTTCCTCCTCAATCTCCCATCAGCCCTTACTATTGCCTTACCCCACCCTTGTACTATAGTGCTCTTATCAACCTGTTGTATGTAAATGAGACTGTTGGGGGCTTAAAATATGTGTACTATATTCATTAAAGTTAGTTGTTGTTTTAACCTTCACCAAGTGTTGTCTGGTATTTGGGGAAATCTGCTGATGGAAAGTGCGTCCAGGGCTATAAAAACAGTAGTCTGGTCCAGGGTGGAAAAGGCCCTCAGTGATCCCAGTCAAGCCTCGTCGACTGTGTCTGAAGTGCTCCAGGGTCCCTGATAGCTACAAGGAAGCAGACTTGGCAGAGGTACTCGGCCAGAGTACTGGACCTCCGTCACAGCCTTGTTGACCCCTCTCCAAGCATACCGGTTATGGTTTTGACCATAAAGCTCTATTTTGGTCTCTCCACTCCAAATTACAGTGTGCCAGAAGGCGTCAGAGTGTCAAGGTGTTGTCGGGCATATTGTAACCGGACTTTTTTGTGGCATTGGCGCAGTAATGTCTTCTTTTTGGTAACTCAACCATGCAACTCCTTTTTATTCAAGTATCATCATATTTTGCTCCTTGAAACAACCACATTGTCTTTTTCCAGAGCAGCCTGTATTTCTCCTGAGGTTACCGGTGGGTTTTTCTTTGTATCCTGAACAATTCTTCTGGCAGTTGTGGCTGAGAATTTTCTTGGTCTACCTGACCTTGGGTTGGTATCAAGTCATCCCCGAATGTTCCACTCCTTATAAGTAATTGAACAGCACCGACTGGCAGTTAAAAGGCTTTGGATATCTTTTTATACCCTTTTCCATCTTTATAAAGTTCCATTACCTTGTTACGCAGGACTTTTGACAGTTCTTTTCTGATCCTCATGGCTCAGTATCTAGCCTGCTCAGTGCATCCCCGTGAGAGCTAACAAACTCACTGACTATTTATACACAGACAGTAATTTCAATTTAAAAAGCCACAGGTGTGGGAAATTAACCTTTAATTGCCATTTTAACCTATGTGTGTCACCATGTGTGTCTGTAACAAGGCCAAACATTCAAGGGTATGTAAACTTTTGATCAGGGTCATTTGGGTGATTTCTGTTATCATTATGATGTACAAAGGAGCCAAGCAACTAAAGGATAATAAGTGGCTCCATATGATCATTATCCTTCAATAAAATATTTTTTTTTGCATGTTCAGTCATAATTTTTAAAATCAATTCCAAAATATCACAATTTCTGCCAGGGTTTGCAAACTTTTGAGCACAACTGTATATAATTTGTTGTGTCAGAAATGCCTCTGCCACATGTTCTTGGAGGGGCCTGCTTGCCAGCCTTCTGCCAAATGACTATGGGCCCTTTAAAAACGTATGTGATTTATGTACTTTTGTACTCCAGAAAGAGAGACCGACTGTTGGTCCTAATGCCCTGGAACTGTTGACTTCCATGGAAATCCCGAACCCCTGAACCGATCTGGGTGATTGGATATGTTGGTCCCCCAGATTGGAGCGAGTGAGGTTTCCATTTGTTTTGGGGATACTTTAGGGTTATTGTAAAATATGTTTTCTGTGCCTGGAGATAATTGAGTTTAGTACAGTTCCTAACTTGATTATCTCTCAGGCACAGGGGAGGCATTATCCTGTTTTGTGTGGGAGTGTGCTGGACCTGAGAGCCAATGTAATAAATTACAGTGTTTACTTAGTCACAGTCCCCTCTCAGGTCCAGTGGGAAATGCGCCTGGGATATGTTATGGAAAACCCCTTGCATGGGGACTTGCATATAAGGCCAGTTGTGGCTGCCATTAAACAGTTCAACTTCACCCTCAACACAGAACCGCGTCTCATGATTGTAGGGAACATCTGCACTTGTCTCCAAGCCGGCCGGAGTCAAGAAGCAATAGATCCACTTCCAGATTCTCCTCTGCATGTTTACTATATGCCCGATTTTAACTTCACAAATGTGAGTGGTTTTAATCTTTTACACAGTGCACTATGGCTCTTCATTTTGTATTTTAGATCGATGTGAAGATCCAGTAAATGTAGGTCTATTCCAATGGTCTATAAGTGTATTGATTGGAAGGATACTTCTACTTTTATGGGACTATCGTCTGCTAGTACCATATTACTAGCTCTTGTAAGAGCTATCCTGCTATACTCTCTGGAGTAGGAGAGGTCTACCCACTGGAAGCTGGATCCCTGACTTGGGTCCAGTGTGGGTGTAGGACAGCGAGACCCCAGCCAAGTTGTGGCGGCTAAGGGTCTACAGTGCTGATGGTGTCTGGTGGAGTGCTTGGAAGTACTCAGAGGTACTAGGAAGCAGTAATTGGCAGAGGCACCCTGTTGGGGTGCCAGGCGGTCCGTCACATATATATCATATAGATAATGGATATATTCAGTTAAAAATTTTAAGATATCAACTCACCTCCTCTTCGGTCCAGCATCGCTATGACTTCAGATGCATGGTAGTTTCACTGTTGTAACATCCACCCTCCCATCTGCCTGCATTCATTTTTATTTGCCCTGCATAGGGACTTTCTCCAGGATGGGAACAAACCTCTTTCATGATGGTCTGGCTTCACCACTAGCATGCCGGAGCCTAAACTGAGTGATGTCAGCCACTTCACCCCTGTACTCCCTAGGGATTACTAGAAGTGTCATCCAGGGCAAAATAATAGCAGATTGCATGCACCATGCTTGTAAGGCTTGGAGAGCACGAGGTCCACCTGTAGGAGGTTGCTCCTGCTCTCCCAGCCAATCAATCGTTTGACATGGAGCTATTTTTGTAAATAGGTTTTTCTCCCAATCTATATATTTTCTAGCAATTCTGGTACACTTTGTCAAGCTGTCATATTTGCCTGGTGCAAAAAAATAAGGTTTTTAATATTGATTATACCACTGTATACAAATTAACAGTGCAATTGAAGGGTTGCTCCACATACAGATTAGAAGCACCATGAAATAAATGGTCATGGTACTTAGAATCAACATGTGTAGCATTTCAGTTTGAAACACTGTACATAAGAAGATATAGCACATTGCTGCTGGACCTCCACCTCCAGAAGAGTTATTAGCCACCCTAGAAGAAGAGTTCCAAGCTGGTTAATGTTACATCTGTGTTCGACAGGGATAACATAATGGAGACATATGACCACTGGTTGCACCCCCACCTGTGCCTCTCAAGTCCTCCCCTGTTCGAGATGTCACATCTGTTCCAGGGGGAAAAGGTGAACACTATGTCAGTAATGATTACTACAACCAAAAACAGTGTTTTAATAAGACACAGTTTTTAGGTGGAGTAACTCTTTAAATTGAAACACAGGTAGCTATTGTTCCACTCTTCTTTGTGATCTATTGAGAAAACAAAAGTGAATGTTCTGATTTTCCAAGTAGCAAACCACAGTCTTGTTAGCACTTATAAAACATGGCTTTAAATTTTATGTTCACTATTAATCCGTATTGTATTGATCCATTTTAAATAAAGTAAGTAAAATAATATTTAAAAAGTTGAAGTAATAGTACAGGATTTTTTTTTAAAATATAAAGTATATATATATGTCCCACCTGGAACCTGTTTAAGCCACTCGCCCAACTTGGGAGACACAACCCCGAGTCCTAGCACAACTGGAACTACTACTGCCTTCACTTTCCATATTCTGTCTCACTCTTCTTTCAGTCCTTGGTATTTGATCATCTTCTCATGCTCTTTCTTCCTGATGTTATAGTCACTGGGTTTTGCCACATCCACCACAAATGCAGTCTTCTGTTCCTTGTCTACCACCACAATGTCAGGTTTGTTGGACTAGGCAGGTCCAGCCCATATTCTGTACAGATGTTTCTGTACACAATTCCAGCAACTTGGTTGTATCTCTCCATGTATGCTGTTCCTTCATGCGCATTCAGCCGGTCGCATAGGAAAGCATTTACAATGCTTTCCTATGGACGCTTGCGTGCTCTCACTGTGAAAATCACAGTGAGAAGCACGCAAGCGCCTCTAGCGGCTGTCAATGAGACAGCCACTAGAGGCTGGATTAACCCTAAGTATAAACATAGCAGTTTCTCTGAAACTGCTATGTTTATAGAAAAAAGGGTTAATCCTAGAGGTACCTGGCACCCAGACCACTTCATTAATCTGAAGTGGTCTGGGTGCCTAGAGTGGTCCTTTAACTTCACAAATGTGAGTGGTTTTAATCTTTTACACAGTGAGCACTATGGCTCTTCATTTTGTATTTTAGATCGATGTGAAGATCCAGTAAATGTAGGTCTATTCCAATGGTCTATAAGTGTATTGATTGGAAGGATACTTCTACTTTTATGGGACTATCGTCTGCTAGTACCAATTCATATCAGCCTGTCTTCATTCTTAGCTGGCATTTTCTGATACAGGCAGACACTTTCCCTGGACACATTGTATCACTGTTTATGTATCCAAGTGTTGATACTTATTTATCCAGGACTGAGACTGTTTATATGTCACCTTAAAGGACCACTATAGTGCCCTGATGGTGCCCCCACCCTCAGGGTCCCCCTCCCGCCGGGCTGTATGGCGAGGAAAGGGTTAAAACTTACCTTTTCTCCAGCGACGGGCGGGGAGCTCTCCTCCTCCTCTCCGCCTCCTCTCCTCCTCTTCGGCTGAATGCGCATGCGCGGCAGGAGCTGCGCGCGCATTCAGCCGGTCTCATAGGAAAGCATTTACAGTGCTTTCCTATGGACGCTTGCGTGCTCTCACTGTGATTTTCACAGTGAGAAGCACGCAAGTGCCTCTAGCGGATGTCAATAAGACTTGGAGGCTGGATTAACCCATTTATAAACATAGCAGTTTCTCTGAAACTGCTATGTTTATAAAAAAAAGTGGTTAATCCTAGAGGGACCTGGCACCCAGACCACTTCATTAAGCTGAAGTGGTCTGGGTGCCTAGAGTGGTCCTTTAAGTCATTCACATGATTCCAATTTGACTTTTATTCACCACACTTTAGTTGGGTTTTGAATTTTAGCAGATGCATTTTTGTACCATGTTTGCACCTCTTCTATTTTTAATTTTATTCTGAATTGTATACATTATATTGTCCCCTATTGCCTACATTATTTGACATCACTGGTTCATTACTAGAGTTTATCTAGCTGCTATTTCTTGTTTACGACCCTCGCCTGCTCTGCCAAGCAACCTCCTCCAATCGTTTGAGGCTTCAATCAAAAAGCTTCTTAGTGAGCACTGTTAAGAATTTAAATTAGTGTGTGTGTGTTTACTTATATATTTACAAAGCCATATTACAGTCCTGTCGTCCACCCATGTGTATCCTATTAAGGGTTTATAAAAGTGTAGCGGTTTATAAGAGTACTCCTGTCTCAGTGCCTTTTAGCTGAAAGCAGCCAGGTGAATAGTTTGTGTAGGATTCACGGGAGGGGCACCAGGGCAAGTGCTTGCCCCGAGCAGCTGGCCTACATGAGCGAGAGAAAAACTTATGTTTTAGGTTAGCCCAAGCCCTCAGCAACGATCCACACACTTTGCCATCCTGCCAACATAGAGTTTCTCCCATGTGGTGTAGAGACCTATGTAGCTTATAAATGGCAGCAGCATTAGACAAAGGGTAAGGGTAAGGGTAATTTTTTATTGTATTTCTCAATAAATGTGTGTGTGTCCACAAGTGTGTCTATGTGTTTATGTGGATCAGTCCATGTGTAAGTCAGTCTGTGCGTCTTTGTGTATGGATCAGTGTGTGTATGTGTGACAGTCAATGTTTGTGTGTATGAGTCAATGTATGTCTATATATCTCCATGTATGTGTGTATGTCAGTGAGCAGGTGTTTCAATGATTGTGTATAAGGGTCAGCATAATTAGATTTATTATTATTGGCATTTGTATAGTGCCTACTTATATAAACACTATAACTTATATAGTGCTTTACAGAAATGCTATAACAAATTTCAACAGAAATGCTAGGTTAATGAGGACCATGCGTGAACATGCTTACAATCTACATATGATGTCTTTACTATAGGCCATCAGACTATACATTAAGTTTGTTATTATTGTAGACTATCTTTAGAAAAAAATCATATTGGCTGTGTTGGAATTTCAACTAATAATCCCAGACACATTCTAAGACCACATAAGGACTACTTTGTCTTTTAGGCAAACCTGAGGTTAACCAAACTTGACAGATTTTGGCAGTTCCCACATCTGTCACTAGCAAGAGGCGTGAATACACCCCTGACATGGCTCCTGGCAGATGAAACACCAAATGCTAAAGAAATAAGATGGCAGCACCCATGAGGGAGAGCTTCAGGTATGGATATCTACGGTCCAGTGCTCCCCCAGGCCACCACACCCCAAGCAGAGATGTCAACCCTGGAGTTCTCTGCAAATTATGCAAAGACTCCAGAATGTGTAGAGATGCTTTAACTTGTATAATACACATACACGTATATACATTCAGAAATCACACCAATATAGAAAGTAATAAGTATTTCAAGCTCTACAGAAATATTCTCTATATTCCAAATTATAGACATGATGAATCCTCTGTTTTGACCTAGGTTTGGCTGCATTGTTTTAGTTTCTGTGATTCAGATTTTCATTTACAAAAGTTAAGAGATTAAAGAATAACCTTAGCCGGTCTTCCAGTCTGTTCCCTTGGTGCCAAACTACCGCTCTATGATATATCCATTGTGAAGTAGTGCACTCATATGACTTAAAATTAACCCAATAACTTTTTCATTTTAAGAAGGCGACAACATACAATGTTTCAGTCCCTCTACCAAACATTTAGTAGCAGGTCCAGATAATGGGGCTGAAACAGTGATTAGAAGCTGTATGTTTCTGCTTATAACAAACCAGTACATTATTTGGAAGTATTTTGAGTGTTTTTCTTTGCAATGAATTTGAATTTTTTTTTTATATCCATGCATTGCATTGTATGACTGGTATCATTTTTTTTTGGGGGGGGGGCGAGGGAGGGAGGCTGTATTTTATTCCCAGTACAGCTCTGTAAGAGGTGAATCTAGCGAGATAGGGAGAGATGTGGCTGATGGGATAGACAGATTAGCCAGAGAGTACAAAGAGATGGGATTGAAGAGAGATGGAGAGAGAAAAATATAGAAAAATGCGACTGGGAAAGAGAGATGATCTATTGGGCTCACAGTAATGTGCAGGACATATCATTGTATTACAGAGATCCATGACCATAAAATGCACAGTAAATGAACAAATCACATTGCCTCACAGCAATAAAACAATCATTTGCATTGTGATTGTATAAGCGCCAGACATTTGTTTTCCTTAAGCTCTAAAAAAAACTGTGGCAGTGCCCCTCACGAGTCCAGTCCCTACAAGTGCTCCTGGACTCCCTAGGAGTCCAGGAGCGCATTGACACGTCAGGTGAGCTTACATGTTAATGGCCATCGGCGTTGTACAAAAACAAATCCTGTTATATAAGTCTACCTAGGAATTCGGGATAATGCTCCTGTAACTTTTTTAGTTATTGTGCATTGATTTCAGAACAGACTTCACTCTGGAGCTTTAAAGGACACTATTTTGAAGGTGACCTATTTTTAAGTCAGATCTTTCATTTTAGTTCCCTTTCTCTCTGTCCCTACATCTGTCTACCAATTTCACCAAGTCCCTCTGTGGCTCAATCCTTCTCCCTAGTCCCAGTTTTGGCTAATGTTATTCCAAAACTCACTTTCTACCTTATCCATGTCAGAAAACTTACATGTGAAGCTCTGAATGTGCCATGTTCTGTTATTTGAATTATATTTAATATTTAGTCAGCTGCACACAAATTTCTTACTGTGGTGGAAGAAAAGAGGAGCAGTCAAAGAAATATGCCCTTGAAAAGATTCTGAGGTAACCAGCCCCACAGTTGGAACTTTTGGCCCTAAAGCCCCCTCCCCTCCAATCGCCTTTGTGCTAATGTCTTTAAATGGTTTAGACTGCCATGTTTTCATTGGGCCTTCAACAAATCAACATTGATAACTTTTATGTAAGCAAAGACTGAGAGCCATGCTACTGTATACCAACACTTTCACTACAACTTCCAGAACACAGCGACGTTCCATACAGCTGTGTTATTGGAACAAAATCATCAATCGCAAGCTATGCAGCAATTTGGTGAAGCTTTTATTGCATTTAGCCAGGGTCAGATTATCATAATGGCTAATGGAGCTGGGGCTCCATGGAACAGGTCAATTGATCCTAAAAAGTAAATAAACCCCTTTTTGCTGCATTACTCTTTATATGGGAACTTAGGAGGAATGCAGGGGAACAAAACTTTTGTGGACTGTCTTCGTATGATATAGTTTATATACACTTTGTGCACTATGCAAGGGATTTTGCTGCTTCTATGTCTCTAAAATCATTTTCATCATGTGATAGTGTGGCACATCTACTCCCTGCTACACTCACTATATCCACCTCTTTCCCTGTCTCAGGCTGCATATCAGGAGAAAAGTTGTAAGCAAGAAGCGAAGGAGAGGAGTGTAAGAATGAGTCCTGAACAGATAGGATTAACAGTTTGATTAGTGAGAGAGGAGCAGGGAGCTGTGTTGCTTTAAGATAGACAGACTTGGTTGAGAGATGGAAGGGAAAGATTGGCATAGGATATTCTTAACATCCTGCAAGTGTCTCTCCAGTACCATCTCCGCCAGATACAAGACACTTGGGAGGTATGGCTGTTATGGTGCTTTGTACCAGACAGATTCTGTAATTAGGTCCATTATAATCATCAAACATTATAAGCTTTTAATCCATCCCTGCATTTAGCCCTAACCATAGATTGCTTCACTGGTCTGTGGAAGATCCCAGTTAGGCTCAACACTAACATTTTGCTGCTCTGCAGATTTTTGTTATTCTCATGCACATGTCTTTGTTTGTCTCTTTAGGGAAACAACTCCTATGTTGTTACACATTGCAAAATAATAGAGTGCTCATACTGGCAGTGTTTTAACCCCTTAAGGACCAAACTTCTGGAATAAAAAGGAATCATGACATGTCACACATGTCATGTGTCCTTAAGGGGTTAAGGAACGCCTATATTTCTAGGCTGCCTACAGGCTTAGAGTAGTAGAGGAAGGAATGAGCACTGCACAGCAATTAAACTGGATGCCAGCCCAGGGAGCTTCCTTACAATAGCCACCAGTAGCAGAAAAGTAAATAGCTGAGCAGCAACTCCAGATTGATTAATGGAGGAAATTGCAAAGCTGGCTCCACTTTGGTGGAATACAATCTCCTTTATTGATCAATAGGCTCAGAGCAGGCTGCTTCACTGTGGTACTAAGCTGGCCCCATTAGTTGTGGTTATGCAACCTTTTCAGGTAGGGTGGGTGGCAGTATGAGGTATGTTACATGGGATCATGCTGGAATAATGTGAATTAAAGCGCTACGGAATCCGTTGGCGCTATATAAATGGCAATAATAATAATAATAATAATAATTAACTTCTGAATGTTCCAGAGCAACAGAATGAACCCCCTTACGTTTCATATCATTAATAACACGGTATGTTGAGATGACTTAATTTTTTGAATAATGTAGGTGAGTAATAAGCACACAGTAAGTTATTAAATATTGCAACAGAACAAGATGCTGCATTCTCTCTAGTTATTTCTGTGGTAGTTAATGTATGACAAAAGGCACTTGAAAAATCACATTTATTTGGAGAGATTGTGCAACGTCCTATCTGTGCCAGAGCTTGCTTGTGCGGATTGTTATCCACTACAACTGAATTACTTTATAGTCTAGGTCCTCAGCTCTGCATTTAAACTGTTTACAGAAGCATGCACAAACATGAACTATCACCTCGGGGGAGATGTACCTGTTAAAGGGACACTCCATTGCACAAATACAAAATACATTTTAAAAAAATAACTGTTTAATAGATATATCCCAAATGAAAACGTGCATGCATTTAAGCAACAGGATTTACTTACTCGCTATCTCTAAATAGGACGTTTTCGAAAACCGTTTAGATTATTGTGGTACCTAAACTTTGCACTTCCATTAAATAATGATAACATGCATATAATACGACTAAAATAGTTGTGGCATACATAGTTACTTAACTATACCCAAAAAACACTCCATATTTTTGCCCAACCCGACAGTGAATAACGATCTTACAAAGTAGGAAATAATAGCATTACATTTACAATTCCTCTATAAAGTACATCATGTGAGCAAGCTGGTTTAATTAAAGGCCATGATGAAATGATTGGCATCCTTTAGTAGAATTAATTTAGCAGTATCTTCTTGCCAATCATCAGTAATGATGATTGAATAAAGATAAAAAAAATACAAAGTATTCAATTCTGTTCATGCTGTACTTTACTTCAGTTTTGAATCCCTATATAAAATGTATTGAAGCTGTTTTTCTTTTTTGTATAGCAAAGGTATTTTCTTCCAGATTTCTCTATTAAATGCTTCATATAATGGACTATACCCAACAAGGATGCCCCATGTCGATTTGTCTCATTTGCTAATGGTCTTCTGCATTAGAACGTCTGGCTGTGAGCAGTGGAGAGGACTCAAATATGCAAACTTTCACATAAGATCTTCTACTTGACTGGCCCCGGTGTGGTTTTTATCGTTCATGCAGAACCTTTTTTCATATTTGTATCCCTCTAACAAAGCATAAAGCTTTTATATTCATAATCCCTGTGTCTTCTATTCAAACCTTTTCCAACCTGGGCCTCTTCACAAACATCTTCCATGAAATTCCTACACTTTCGCCCTCTCTCTAGTGTCCAAGCCAAACCTACATAATCAACATGGCGGCCATGGGGAGGAGGATTTAGTGCAGACAGGAGCCCAGGGACACAACTTTGCGGTTAACCACTTTAAATTGTTTATCCTTCTAGGATAAAGCATCCAGGGACCCCTGCACCCATAACAACTATTTAGATGAAGCTTTAAAGGATCACTATAGGGTCAGGAACACAAACATGTATTCCTGACCCTATAGTGTTAACACCACCATCTAGCCCCCCTGGGCCCCTCATGCCTCCATAAATATAGTAAAAGTCTTACTATATTCAAGCCTGAAGCTGTAACTCTGCATGCTCTTAGACTCAAAAAACAAGCAGTCTGCTGACATGTGGTAGCCTGATCCAATCACAGTGCTTCCCCATAGGATTGGCTGAGACTGACAAAGAGGCAGATCAGGGGCAAAGCCAGCAAGATTCAAACACAGCCCTGGCCAATCAGCATCTCCTCATAGAGATGAATTGAATCAATGAATCTCTATGAGGAAAGTTCAGTCTCTGCATGCAGAGGGAGGAGATACTGAATCACAGGATGCTGTGCACAGTGCTGCCCTGTGCTCTGCTGGTAGCAGATCTGAGTGGATGGAGGCATATTATGCCTCCATCAACTCAGAAGTCCCTCTGGTTCACTCTGAGTGACTGCAACTGGAGGTGCTCCTAGCTTTCAATGTAACCGCTTTTACATGAGAAAGGCTGCAGGGAGCTATAGTTCTCACCTGAACAACCTCATTAAGCTGAAGTTGTTCAGGTGTCCCTTTAATGGGGGTGGAGTATCCTTTTAAAATCCCTTAATTCAGGAAACATGTTTCTTCACTGTCTCTATGTTCTAGAAGCACACCTTTATGCTTCTTTAACTATTCCTTAATTTCTTCCACACAGGCAGCCCCTTACAATGCAGTTCTGGGTTCTGCTTTTTTTATTTTTATAATGGAACTGAACAATGCAGTTAAAACCATTTAAGTATATCAATTGGACCTATCAGATCTTTTGACCAGCAGGGAGACAAAATGTCGGCACCGATTCCAATTTCTGTGTTGGTATGGTGTCCCTTTAATGGGGGTGGAGTATCCTTTTAAAATCCCTTAATTCAGGAAACATGTTTCTTCACTGTCTCTATGTTCTAGAAGCACACCTTTATGCTTCTTTAACTATTCCTTAATTTCTTCCACACAGGCAGCCCCTTACAATGCAGTTCTGGGTTCTGCTTTTTTTATTTTTATAATGGAACTGAACAATGCAGTTAAAACCATTTAAGTATATCAATTGGACCTATCAGATCTTTTGACCAGCAGGGAGACAAAATGTCGGCACCGATTCCAATTTCTGTGTTGGTATGGTGATCTGGTGCTCTGGTATAAATTAATTCATTAGCTAGCAAATTACAGTACTTTTTGCAAGATAGATGCATTCTAATGCTCAATATTTATTAAGATCTTTCAGTTCTACTCTGACATATATGCTGTAGAAGCAGTTCAATCATGACTGATATATATTTCTATAGGGAATCAACACAGTAAAGGAGGAGACTATATTTAAAAGAAGAAAAACTACCACAACAAGAGGACATCGTCTTAAATTAGAAGGACAAAGGTTTAAAAATAATATTAGGAAGTATTACTTTACTGAGAGGGTAGTGGATGCATGGAATAGCCTTCCAGCTGAAGTGGTAGAGGTTAACACAGTGAAGGAGTTTGAGCATGCGTGGGATAGGCATACGGCTATCCTAACTATAAGATAAGGCTAGGGACTAATGAAAGTATTTAGAAAATTGGGCAGACTAGATGGGCCAAATGGTTCTTATCTGCCGTCACATTCTATATTGGGGGGAGACAGAAATTGTTTATTTTTTCAAACAAAATTGTATGCATCAATTTTGGCTCACTTGAGCAGAGCCTTCTCAAAAACTTCTTGTTTTGGGTATTGTTGAGTGTACGTCAGATTTAAATTATACTGCTATATCTCTCACTTCTACCAATTATTCTTCACTACTTGCAGCTCTGCAGGATATGTTGGCTTTTTTGATAATATAATAAGTACTAAGAGCTATTATAATGCATATGGCAACATGTTTGTAGATGTTTACAGAATAAAACAGTAAAGTTCAAAATAAAAAATTCTAAAAAAACATTTGATATGTGAAGATGTGAAGACATTTTCACAGGAAATAAATGCTTGGAATTAAGGTTAACTTAGTTCACTTTGTAAAAGATCCTGAGAACCGAATAGAAACACAGTGGGTATTATGATGCCTCCCGTGACGTTCTGCTAGTTAGTACCCCTTCACACATTTCGATCTTTTTGTTTATCACCACAGGAGACATCCCATTGTTTTTCGGTTGCCAAACTCATTTCTCTTGCATTGTGTATGTGTAACAGATATGTGGTTTTTACAGCCCAACTGCATGAGAGAAAAGGCTTAGCCAAGTATCACTAATGTATATTAGCAACGTGGTACTCTAAGCATGTATTGGCCCTTCGGTAAGTGTTTGCTGCCTTGTGTCATTCTCCACAAATGACTTCAATATGATCAGGGATAATAATAATAATAATCTTTGCTTACGCCACTCCTTGCGAAAGAGAAAAAAAAAAAAAGATTAGGAAAACTGTTCGAACAAGCCATGAACACAAGGCAAATAGTCAGGGATAAACCTTGTGTTACCATGGAGACATCTCACTTGTTACGCCACTCACCAGGAATCTGTTATGTGATTTTCATTATGCCTGCTTTGCTTACAAGGTTGGCTGGGTTCTAGGTATCTATATTTGTCACAATAGCTATATTTCACCAAGTACCCAGCAGGAAAGACTCTGCCCGAGATAAACATTCTCTCTTCATTTTATTTGTTCAAAAAGTTCTCACTTGTTATTTTCTGTGCCACCCGGAAAGGGATTCTTTCATAGGTGGAAGAAGCTGGCCAATTTCTCACTTTTTGTGCAGAGGGGGATTGGACACTTCTTGGCACTGTGTGCTGGGTAGCACTGCTGGCGGGAGTTGGATCATGTATCTCCCCGGCACTATGGGGGCATATTTATGTGACTATTAAACTGGGTTTGGCTATATTTATGTGACCAAGATTTGGGGTTGTTATATATATATATTTATTTATATAAATATGGGACTAGGCGCTCCTCCTAGCAAAAAACAACAACAACAAAGGATCAAAAAACACCAATTTCTGAGCTTTTGCCCATTTTCAGAGTTCTCATATTCTAAGTATGGGTGGGATCCGTCTGATATGCACATGGTATAGGTTCTCTCTGTAATAGCACAAGTGAACAATATCATATTTGAGACCTGAGTGGAGACTAACTGAAGTCTATTGAGAAGACTGCGGGAGCCTCCATAGATATCTTGCGATGATGCCGTATTCCCTCAGCAGTCACTAGCGATGGCTGTGGAAAGTGACAAAACTCGGCGGTGGTAGCTCCGCATCTTGTCAAGTTTTGAAGAAATTCTAACAAAGTCTTTATGAGCATTTAGCAAAGATTTTATGACAGAGACGCATTAATTGATTTCAACTCTCACACTTATTATTCAAGAAGTGAAGTGGGGTTCATATGGTAAATTGTTCATGGTCTTTAAACCAATTGTGTACCACGATTAGGATTTTGGCATACCTCTGGCACTCAAGAAGTTAAAGGACCACTATAGAAAACATACTTGTTTTCCTGGCACTATAGTGCCCTGAGGGTGCCCCCACCCTCAGGGTCCCCCTCCCGCCGGGCTGGATGGAGAGGAAGGGGTTAAACTTACCTCTTTCTCCAGCGCCAGGCGGGGAGCTCTCCTCCTCCTCTCCTCCTCTTCGACTGAATGCACATGCGCGGCAAGAGCCACGCGCGCATTCAGCCAGTCTCATAGGAAAGCATTTACAATGCTTTCCTATGGACGCTGGCGTCTTCTCACGGTGAAAACCACAGTGGCTGGATCAGTGGCGTACACATGACCCATGGGGCCCCGGTGCGAAAATTGATCCGTGGCCCCCCCCCCCGCGCGTGGGCCGGGCAGCAACACATGGCGGTGGGCACCTGGTCGCAGGGGTTACAGGGCTGCGAGCCCTGCGACCGCGGTATGTACGCCAGTGCATGCAGATGCACACACACTTAAAGGACCACTCTAGGCACCCAGACCACTTTAGCTTAATGAAGTGGTCTGGGTGCCAGGTTCAGCTAGGGTTAACCCATTTTTTCATAAACATAGCAGTTTCAGAGAGCCTTCCCCTATTTCCTCTATTGGCTGTCTCATTGACAGCCGCTAGAGGCGCTTGCGTGCTTCTCACTGTGATTTTCACAGTGAGAGCACGCCAGCGTCCATAGGAAAGCATTATGAATGCTTTCCTATGTGACCGGCTGAATGCGCGCGCAGCTCTTGCCGCGCGTGCGCATACAGCCGACGGGGAGGAGAAGAGGAGGATCAGAGGAGGAGAGCTCTCCGCCCAGCGCTGGAAAAAGGTAAGTTTTACCCCTTTTCCCCTTTCCAGAGCCGGGCGGGAAGGGGGTCCCTGAGGGTGGGGGCACCCTCAGGGCACTATAGTGCCAGGAAAACGAGTATGTTTTCCTGGCACTATAGTGGTCCTTTAAAGGACCACTACAGACACCCAGTTCACATCAGCTCAATGAAGTTGTCTGGGTGTCAGGTCCCTCTAGTTTTTACCCTGCAGCTGAAAACGTAGCAGTTTCAGCTGCTATGTTTCACTGAGGGTTAATCCAGCCTCTAGTGGCTGTCTCACTGACAGCCGCTAGAGGAGCACACTGAACGTCCATAGGAAAGCATTGAGTAATGCTCTCCTATAAGCGGGTTGGATTCGTGCGCGGTCGCATTCGGAGCTGAGAGGCTGAGGGATCCTCAGTGCCAAGGGAACACACACACTAACACTCACTCTAACACTCACACACACTCAAACACTCACACTCACACTAACACTCACTAGCAGACACACACACTAACACTCACACTAACACTCACTAGCAGACACACACACTAACACTCACACTCACTAGCAGACACACACACTAACACTCACACACACTCACACTAACACTAGTTTTGTTTTTTTAATGTAATCCCCCCAGCCTCCTTACCTTTTGGAGTGCTGGGGGGATTCCCTGGGGTCCAGTGGTGCTGCTGGGCTCCTGGGCGGGTGGTCGGGCAGGCAGGCGGCGCTTGAGGGAGCACTCAGTGCTTCCTCTTCAGCTCCCTCGCGCGCCGCGTAGGGATGCCAGCGCCGGAAGATGACGTCATCTTCCGGCTTCGGTATCAGTGCGGTGCGCGAGGGAGCTGAAGAGGAAGCACTGAGTGCTCCCTCGCGCGCCCGCCTGCCTGCCTGCCCGACTGGCCATCCGCCTGCCCGGTGACAGCAGGGCCAGCCTCGGGGGGGCCTGGGGTGGTCGGCTCCTGGGCCTCCCAGGGGAAGAGGCTGGCCCTGTGGGTACATACCGGGTCGCAGGTATGTACGCCACTGGGCTGGATTAACCCTAACATAAACATGTTATGTTTATAGAAAAAAGGGTTAACCCTAGCTGGACCTGGCTCTCAGACCACTTCATTAAGCTGAAGTGGTCTGGGTGCCTATAGTGGTCCTTTAAGCTCATGCTAGATAGTCTATCTACCAATATTCAGGATGACATTTCGTGGACACAAGCCATACTGCTACTCTCACCTTGGTTTATGGATTTATGACCAAGATAAAAGATAAATATGAGTTCACATGGTATCTCATTGTGCGATACACACTCAATTTCAAGTGGCTAGTTTTTATTTGTGCCACCTGTTTTAAACACAGCTTTTGGGCATTACATTGGATGAATCTGTCTGCAGACATTAAATATAGTCCTCCAACTATTTGATATATTATATACGTGAAATAGATGTTACAAAAAGAAAAAATATATATTTCTCTTTTTTGCGTTTGACGTCAATATTTCAATAACCATTTCTCTTTAATCCTAATGTGTAGGCACATGTCTCCAGACACCAGTAAACAGTACAAAAAAATGTAACCTGTTGGGCTATTGTCAACCGGTTTAGTGTCAATAATGGCAGTTTGTCAGCGTGTACTGTTAGTCAAAGGATGATGTCATAAGTGGAGGAGGAGTGGGAGTAAAACAGGAACAGCACCTCTGCGTGATTTATTAACTAACTAAGTGCTAATTGCAAGCATACATCCCTACTCTGCATCAGTTAGAAGATATTTGTGCACAATATCCCTAAGCCCTGTGCTTCAGGCACTCGGGGGTTAATTGTCTCAGGTACAGTGTGTACCTTAGAGAACCGATGAGTGAAATAATAAACATTAAGATAAGATATATGAAAACACTACAAAAAATGTATTAAGAAAAATAAAAATTGTTAAGACTTTCCTGAAATTATTCCAGCTATACATTTTTAAATTTTGTGGTATTCATATAACATGTATTTTTCTTTTATCTTTTTATCGCAATTATTTTATTTAATTGCATTTGAAAAACAGATGCAATGCAGCTCCGTAGTTTTCCTTTTAAATGAATGAGACTGTGAAATAATTGTATAAACAAAATTAGTATAGGGCATTTCTGTGTAAATTAACATAATTTGCAGGGTTTATTTTTTTAATTTTGGTAATTTGATCTGGTTATTTTTTTTTCGTTTTAAGATTTTGCACTTACATATTTTTTAAAAACATATATTCATTATATAAAAAAAGAACAGTACATAGTACTTGATGGACGCAAGTCTCTTTTCAGCTATGTAACTATGTAATATCAGAAAATACAGGGATTTATTTCACTGAATTGTAGTAAATAAACTCTGATTTTCAAAATTAACCCCTTAAGGACGGCGGGCATGCTATGCCATCCTTGGGGACCTGGTTCTAAACGCCAGGGGGTGGCATATCATGTCCCCACCGTCCTTTCTACTTACCCGGTCGCCGGCAATCGCGTTGTGGGGACGCACCTGGCATCCTAGGGAGTCCCCCTCCTTCCGTTCCGTAGAATGATATTGATTAAGTATATATAATGATATACAGATATATATATTTATATATAATATCAAATAAATATGTATGTAAATACGTTAACCCCTTAAGGACTGAGCCAAATGTACACGTTGTGAACAAAACAAAACTTAAACAAAACCTGGCAATTGCGCTACATGTCTGTCCAACCGTAATACACCTCTTTCATATTAAATGCACCCACCCTTATTATATATCATTTTATTCAGGGGAAACAGGGCTTTCATTTAATATCCAATATTTAGCTGTGAAAGATAATTTAATATGAAAAAAATGGGAGAATATAGGATTTTATTTAATTTTTTTAGTTCTACATGACATTTTAACTGTCAATGTCATAATACTGTTTGCTTTTACTGCAATAAAATACACATATTTGTATTCAGCAAAGTCTCACGTGTAAAACAGTACCCCTCATGTACAGGTTTTATGGTGTTTTGGGAACTAACATGGTCAAATATAGCACGTTACATTTGAAATTGAAATTCGCCAGATTGGTTACGTTGCCTTTGAGACTGTATAGTAGCCCAGGAATTAAATTTACACCCATAATGGCATACCATTTGCAATACCTTGAGTTGTCTACTATTGCAAATGGTATGCCATCATAGGAGTAATTTTCATTCTTGGGCTACCATAGGGTCTCAAAGGCAACGTAACCAATCTGGCGAATTTTAATGTGAAAAAACTGAAACGCAAGCCTTATATTTGACGCTGTAACTTTTGAAAACACCATAAAACCTGTACATGAGGGGTACTGTTGTATTCGGGAGACTTCGCTGAACACAAATATTTGTGTTTCAAAACAGTAAAAAGTATCAGCAATAATATCGTCCGTGTAAGTGCTGTTTGTGTGTGAAAAATGCGGTACCAGTCATCAGGTACACAGCTAGAAAAATAACCTGGCCAAGAGAAGAGCTGGTCATCTTGGATGTCACGACACTGAAACTACTCACTATGAATGTAGGATTCCACCTGAAATCTAGCACCCAGAGACTGTACACCAGCCAGAAGACAGGAGGTCAGGGCCTGATGAGTATCAAGGCTACATTCCTGGATGAAACACAAAGCATTCATAAATACATCACTACAATGGCCCCCAAACATAAACTGCTAAGGGAATGCCTAAGACAACAGACAGAGAATGCAGAAAAGGAGGAGCTTCCGTGGCAAAACAGACCACTCCATGGGTTGTACCACCAGCAGATAGTGGATGTGGCTCAGATGACAAAATACTACTAGTGGTTGGAAAAAGCTGGACTGATTGACAGCACTGAGGCATTAATCGTAGCAGTACAAGAACAGACACTCAGCACCAGATCAATAAAAGCAGGGGTCTACCACACCAGGCAATATTTAAGGTGCAGACTGTCCAAAGAGGCATCTGAGACAATCACATAAACTGGGATTATACCATCCGTGCATTATCCAGCAGAGCTCTTATTTAGCTCTGGAACACGTGAGTCTATTACCACCACCAGCGCATATATATCTGAATTTACTTGTACTGTATTATACTATTTTTTTTATGCTTAATTTTTTTCAGGTCATTTATATTTAAAATATTCTGTAAGGTATACAGTCTACTGTTAAACTTTATTGCATTTGGCGCTGTGTTTCTCTTGTTCTATTGTATCTATATTCTGTTTTGCGTATAGAGGTTTGGGAATTCCTTTATTATTCACTGCTGCCACTTCTGTTTATTATAGTGAGCGCCTATAAATCCCATTTTTTTAAGCACAAGTACTGGCCAACCAATCTGACACTGTTGTGGTAGACAAGAAACAGAAAAATGCAGTCATGGTGAATGTAGCAATATCCAGTGACTATAGCATCCAGAAGAAGGAACATGAGAAGATGGACAAATACCAAGGACTGAAAGAAGAGCTAGAAAGGATATAGAAAGTGAAGGCAGTAGTAGTCCCAGATGTGAAAAGAGCACTCAAGGCTGTGACGCCAAAGTTGTGGGAGTGGATTCAACAGATTCTAGGTGGAACACCTGAGATCGCTGTCCGAATATTGCAGTTCTACAAGATACTGCGTAGAACCCTCAGACTCCCATGCCTCCAGTACAGGACCCAATAATGAGAAATAAATATGCCACCCAAAGTTATATATGTATATACTTGTGTATAAACTACACACAAACTATAAGCTGCTAACTGTCTGCACTGCTCAACTTCATAAATGTAATAATTAAATCCCAAACACAAAGCATGGTGGGCTCTGTGCTCCATGTCTGCTTGGAGTATGCAGTTATCAACCTATTTTGGGAGGCAGTTCACTCCACTTTGAGGCATATAGTGGGAGACTCCATGCTGCTACTACACCCCATCATACTTTGACCCCTATTTCCTGTTTAAAAAAAAATAAAATCACTAACCAAGCAGTAGCTCAATGCGGCTAAACTCTCGATCCCTGTCTTCTGGAGGCAGAGAGGAACTCCAACACTTCATAAGTGGACTGTCAGAGTTGAGGAGATTAGATAAGTGGGAGCTTTAACAGCTTCCTTACATGGAAGGTCTCATAAACGTAATGCTTTTTGGCTTTCCTGGCTGGATTTTGTGTTTAGAATGGAGCATCTGGGTTGAACATAATCTTTGAGTGTTTGAGGTGTTCCAAATGGGACCATTCTCCCTTAACTATTTTTACCCCTCTATTTTCTCTCTTTTGTTCAGTGCTGCTTTTCTCCTCTTCCTCCCGCACTCCCATTTGCCCACTCCTCTCTTCCTGACACCCATACCACATGGTGTACAATACATGAAGTGTAACTTAAGCAGATGGACAATATCTGTGTTTCACTTCTTTATGCATCACTTCTTTATGCATGCTCAAATGCGGTATATATGACTTTGATTCTTTTTTGCAATATACATTTTACTCAGCTAGTTATTTGACTGTACCTAACCTTTTAAATCCCTTGATGTCAGGGCATTGGTAAGGAGGAATGCAAGTACATCCCTGGGTGACCTAAAACATATATGAGACCCGAGGAGGGACTGAAGAGTATACTATGCTTTTGCCTGTTCTTAAAAATTCTGTCCTTGGATTCTTTGCATATGTCTAGCATCGCCCCAAGTTAAAAGGCTAATCCAGACATGGACTTCTTTTAACTATGTCTGAAATGTTATGAACTACACCGTGATTCTGATTTTGGAAAAAAAAACGTGTCTCAATTTTGGGCTGTTTTCATGTTGTTTAAAAGAATTTCCTGTATTATGTTTTTTTTTTGTATTAATTATGATTGCTTGTTTTCCAATGCTCTGTAACTTTGTATTTAAATGGATATTATCATATGCTTAAGGACTAGTCTATGGTCCTGTGAGCATAGTAGGAAAGAGAGCCGTACGTGCTTTTGTAAAGCCAGTAGTTGGAAGCAGGACAGGTTGAGGTGTTGATATCTGCCTGGAAGGAGGAGGCAGATAGACTTGCGTACTGAGAGCTGCTGGGAGAGTTATAGCAGGACCATGGTTTCATGGAGGAGCCCTGTCTGAGGTGGCAGACCAGGGCCGGACTGGCCCACCGGGAGACACCTGGGTCTGCTGGCGGCCTCTGGGGAGGTCTTCTGGTGGCCGCTGGGGGAGCTGCGCTGGCTCTGCTCCCCAGCGCGCAGCTGAATGAGACCAGCGCCGGAATATGACGCCATATTCCGGCGCCGGTCTCATTCAGCAGCGCGCGAGGGCAGGAGAGCCAGCGCAGCTCCCCCAGCGGCCACCAGAAGATCTCCCCAGCGGCCGCCAGTACAAGTCCCCCAGCGGCCGCCAGCAGACCTCCCCCTGGCAGGTATTAGTAATGTGTCAGTGTGAGTTTGTCTGTCTGTCTGTGTCATGGTGTCTGTATGTTGTGTGTTTGTCTGTATCGTTTGTGTGTGTGTCATGGTGTCTGTCTGTATGGTATGTGTGTGTGTCTGTCTGTGTCATGGTGTGTGTGTGTGTCTGCCCGTCATGGGGTGTGTGTCTGTCCGTCATGGGGTGTGTGTCTGTCTGTCCGTCATGGGGTGTGTGTCTGCCTGTCCGTCATGGGGTGTGTGTCTGCCTGTCCGTCATGGGGTGTGTGTCTGTCTGTCCGTCATGGGGTGTGTGTCTGTCTGTCCGTCATGGGGGGTGTGTGTGTCTGTCCGTCATGGGGGGTGTGTGTGTCTGTCCGTCATGGGGGGTGTGTGTGTCTGTCCGTCATGGGGTGTGTGCCTGTCTGTGTCATGGTGTGTGTGCCTGTCTGTGTCATGGTGTGTGTGCCTGTCTGTGTCATGGTGTGTGTGCCTGTCTGTGTCATGGTGTGTGTGTGCCTGTCTGTGTCATGGTGTGTGTGTGTCTGTCTGTGTCATGGTGTGTGTGTGTGTGTCTGTGTCATGGTCTGTCATGGTGTGTGTATCTGTCATGGTATATGTGTGTTTCTGTGTCTGTCATGGTGTATATGTGTGTTTAAAAATAGTGTTTTTGCTCACCTTTTTTTTCCCCACAAAGCGTGCTGGTCTCCCCTCAACTGGCCCTGCCCCTATAGCTGAGATCATCAAGCTTGATGATCTCAGCCAATCCAATGCTTTGCCATAGGATTGGCTGCAAAACACCACTCCAATCAGCATCTCCTCATAGAGATGCATTGAATCAATGTATCTCTATGGGGAACGTTCAGCACCTACAGAGTGTGGAGGCCCTAAATGTAGGTGCACTAACACAGGAAGCACCTCTAGTGACCGTCTGAGTGACTGTCACTAGCAGTGTCACTTTGAAGCAATGTAAACACTGCCTTTTCTCTGAAAAGTCAGTGTTTACGTTGAAAAGCCTGTAGGGACATGCTATAGACACCAGTACCACTACATTAAGCTGTGTGTGTGCGTCTGCTAGTGAGTGAGCTTGCTTGCATGCGTGTGCCTGCTAGTGAGTGAGCTTGTGTTTTTATGTCAATGAGCTGATGTATATAAGTGAGATTGTTTGTCTATGAGGCTGTGTATCAATGAGCTTGTGTGTGTCATTGAGATGTCAGTGAAATTGCCTGTGTCTGCATGTGAGTATGCTTACTGTAGACTTAAACGTTTTACCCTGAAAGGACCAATATTTTATATTAGAAAAAGCAATATATATATATACATATATATATATATTACTCAATCATCTGTCATGGCAAGACATAGCCTTACATATTACACGCGACAATATATGGCGCAGTGACTTATGGGGCTGGCACAAATTTTTTTTCCAGGGCTTCTTTGTATCCCCAGGCCGGCCCTGTGGCAGACCCACATTCCAGGTGGCGTTTCAGTCACATCTGCAAATACGTTTTGAGACCTGATTGGGGACTTCCGGAACTGCACTCTACACATACACGTGTTCTCTCAAAATTTGGTTTTAGACCCGGATAATTCTCTTTGTCCTGATTTTCGTATATGTGAGATCAGACATGGGAAATATAGTTTCAATTGGTAAGTGTTTTTGAACTTGGATCCAAAGATCTTTTGTACATCATCTAAGTATTAAGAATTCACATAGACTACAAATCTACCAGTGCATCCACATATGGGCTATTTGAGACCCATCAGATTACAAATTTATACCCATATGTGCAATTGCCATCGTCTGCCATTTCAGTAGCTTGTGCATGCAGAACCAAGCTGCTTAGTGAATCTTATTAGACACTTCCTTTTTTCTGCCTGGGCAGGGGGCCAGACAATTTTTTTTATTTTATTTTTTTAAACAAGACTAAACCTCTGTCATCAAGAACAAATTTACCCAGGCCATTGAAAATGACATGAAAAGGGACCTTTTTCATTTGGCTAAGAAAGCAGAGCCTTAAGGAATCTGCACTTTAGCATTTGAATAACATTAACCAGGGGAATACAAATTTATAACTATTGTTGCAGAACAAAGATCTGCTGTTTTAAGACATTTTAACTGCTGTGGATCAAGGGTTCATTTAAAATCATTGCATACTTTGTCAGTGAGTTTATTGGTTTTTAAATTGCAAAACATTATTTAAAATTATTTATCGTGGACAACATTGTATTCACTATTTTAGTCCAGAGAAATAGGAAGCAGACAAAATATCTAACGGGGTGAACAAGGTGAGGCAAAATAATGTATTGTTCGCTCCTCTGGCATTCGGATTGTTAAATTCCGAATGATGTGCAAAGGCATGCTAAGGGCCCAGGGAGGTTTATTGTAACCAAGAATGCTGTGAATGATACATTCATAGAAAAAATGTGAATCTGTTATTGACAATGATGGGTGGTTTTGAATTCCCCAAATAGGGCCAAATTATGCTTTTTAAGAAAAGAGAGTTTAGTATTGGTGTTTCTAATAAGAGAAAACTTGAGTATGGTAATCCTAACTTGACAATCGGAGAATAGGCATCTGGGTGTTTACCTGGCCAAGTTTAGTGGCTAAACGATTTAGACAACTTGTCTAGCTACAAGAAAAGTGGAGAATGGCAACCAGGCATCATGTAATATGAGTGAGTTTCTATATTATCCGGTGAAAAATTAGATTGTTCATACTTTCAATTGTTGGAAACAATCCGATAATTTGAAATTGTACATTAAATATCCCAATAGGAAAGATTATTTCACTTATTTATTTAGCTAGCATTAATATTTTGGTTTAAAACATGAAATTCTCTGGTTAAATGGACACTAGACCCCTAAAGCACTACAGCTTGCTAAAGTGCTCTGTGTGTAAAGAGTGTGCCCCTTTTTTGTTTTTGTAAGTGTAGATGTAATTTTATTTATTTTTAAAGGCAATTTTAATAACCTGATTATACCCCTGGCTGTCAGTCAGACAACAGGGGGTCCTGTTACCTTCTGTTTTGGTTAGCTCAGTGCAGCTTAACTCATTAGGCAGAAATTACACAGAGCACATGCCTTGCAAAGACATCCAATTGAGCTGCTTTGGAAAGTCTGTGATTGGACAGCCACAGAAAGCTTAGAAGAAGTGCGGGGTTAGAAGAAGAGGGCTTGCAAAGGCAGCAAATAAACTTTTTTTTAGATATATCCCTGTGAAAAAATGTATAATTAAATGCATGCCTGTTCTGATTGGAACTATATCTACTAAATAGTAGTTTTAAGTTATTCTTTTTTTTTTTTAATTTGGGCAGTGAACGGTCCCTTTAAAGGAACATAACACATTCATTGAAATTAAGTGATGATTGTATCATTGATGATAGTATATCAGTGTGTTTGTATGGGTTACTGTGTGACTGTCAGTATGTGCATTAGTGTGTTGTTATAGTACGAGTGTCATGCATTATGACCTTATGACCTTGCTATGCATCTAGATGATGTCCTTCTGTGCCCCAGAAGCTCACCACTCCCTACATCCTGGTGATCTGGTAGAAAAGCACTGGTGAAGCGCTCTGCAATCACCTTAATGCCTTGTGTATACCCAGCACAAGCATGTCTGCTTTGCTAATTGTGAAGAGTTCCCTGGTGTCACCCCATGCAGAACACCTGGAAACAGACCCAGGAAGGTGGGACAAGACCCTTGAACCTAGGGCAGCTGGGAGGTGTGCCGAAAGCAGCAAATGTAAATCACCCTGTAATTATTGTTCTCCAATGATTGCAGAAACTGCTCTGCTTTTGGTTTCACTGGGCCTGTGCCGTTTTAAACTCGGCTAAGAGAGTACTCTATCTGGCGTATAGATCAGTGTCAGCATCAGATATGATTAATGTGCAAACAGCCATTGCTTAGCAACAGTGTAAATGTCAGGGTTGAAATATGCCCCTTTCTACTTGGTTCCTAACATGTGGACAGCGTTAATATATTCAGAGGTTTCATTTGCATTTTCCTTAGGTCTATTATAAAAAATGTGTTTAAAATTATATATGATTATTGAGGTATCAACAGCAAAGGTCTGTGCTAATGTGGAAGAAGGACAGCATGTTGGCAATTATAAGGTTCTAACTGTTTTAGTATTTATGCACTGCCAACGTATTCCACAAAATTAAACATAGGGTTCAGTTCACTAAAAAGCGAGTTATCAAGTGTCTTGCAAAATGTAAAAAAAAGTTAGATTAGAAAAAAGAAAATATCTCTAAGGCGGGCTGTCGTGGTTATATTGTATTAAGTGTTCTTTAAGGAATCTGATTCACTTGTGATTAGTCTTCTGTTTCTCACGTTCTATCAACGTGTGCCCATTGAGATAAACAGGGCACCTGATTTACTTTTAATGCAATGTAGAAAGGAACACCAGCCGGGTGGGCATCCCAAACGGTTTATCCCATGAGGGTATGACGTGCAGAGAGGCTCCTGGCTTCCTAGCAACTTAAATGAGCTTACTTTTTTTATGGAGGTTATGGCATGTTCCTTTACATTTACTACTTGGAGCAGTCCAAATTTCAGCTTAAAGGGACACTATAGTCACCAAAACAACTTTAGCTTAATGAAGCAGTTTTGGTGTATAGAATATGCCCCTGCAGCCTCACTGCTCAATTCTCTGCCATTTAGGAGTTACATCACTTTGTTTAAGAACCCTAATCACACCTCCCTGTATGTGACTTGCACAGCCTTCCTAAACACTTCCTGTAAAGACTCATCTAAAGTTTATCCTTTCTTTATTGCAAGTTATGTTTTAGATTTTCTTATCCCCTGCTATGTTAAAAGCTTGCTAGGCCCTGCAAGAGCCTCCTGTATGTGATTAAAGTTCAATTTACAGAGCAAGAGAAAAAATTGTTTAAAGTAAATTACATCTGATTGAAAGTGAAACCAGTTTTTTTTTTTTTTTTTTCATGCAGTCTGTGCCAATCATAGCCAGGGGAGATGTGACAAGGGCTGCATAAACAGAAACAAAGTGAGTTAACTCCTAAATGATAGTGAATTGAGCAGTAAAACCTGAGAGGCATGATCTATACACTAAAACTACTTCATTAAGCTAAAGTTGTTTAGGTGACTATAGTGTTTAAAATACTTGAAAATGACCAGCTAAATAGTATGTATTACAATGTTTTACACTAAATCAAGGGACAAGGGTGCTTGCAGCAAGCTAGGGCTTCAGGCAGGGCCCGGACTGGCCATCATGCAAACCGGTCAAATGCCCGGTGGGCCGCGATGGCCACGATGGGCCGCGATGGCCACGGGTAGAGGCTGGCCGGTCAATGCAGAGCCGGCGCTATCCGAGCGCCAGCTCTGCTGTGTTCTATGATGGGCCAGTGGGGAGATCAAAGATCTCCCTTACCAGCCCACATGCAGTGAAACGCAGACACTGGCGGGGGAGAGAGGGAGGGAGACAGCCAGGAGAGGAACCTGGAGGAGCTCTAACTTGCAGCTCCGCTGGGTTTCTCTCGCGAGATCCGGACCATTGGCAACAGTCAGGGTCTCGCGAGAGTAAACTCTAGCCAGTGGGAACTCACCACTAGCAACTGGTTGGAACTCACCGCAGGACGACCCCCCCTTCCAGGCTACAGGTAAGAAGGGAGGGCGGTATAATGCTTGTTTTTTTTTTATTATTATAAAAAAAAAAAATACATACATTTTGGCATTTACCTGACTCCCCCAACACACAATCCTTCCAAACACACACATCACCCTCACAAAGCACCCTAACACACACATCACCCTCACACAGCATCCTAACACACACATCACCCACACACACACACACACACACACACACACAGCACCCTAACACACACACATCACCCTAACACACACACACACACATCACCCTAACACAGCATCCTAACACACACACACACATCACCCTAACACAGCACCCTAACACACACACACAGCACCCTCACTCACACAGCACCCTCACTCACACATCACCTTAACACATACATCACCCTCACACAGCACCCTAACACACACATCGCACTAACACACACACAGAACCCTCACACAGCACCCTAACACACACACAGCACCCACACACTGCACTCCTTACACACACACACACACACATCACCCTCAAACACACATACTGCACCCCCCCACACAGCACCCTCACACACACACTATACTCCTCACAAATGCACACTACACTCTTCACACACACACTGCAGCCCCCAAACATGCTGCAAAACACACACAATATTTTCAAACATATATGTATATATACTTCAGAACCCCTCACACACATACTGCACCCCTAAACACATTATATTCCAAACAAACACTAGATTCCTTACCCAACTCTGGATCATCTACAGATATACACACACTAGATCTCTATATACACTCTGAATCCTCTACATACACACACACACACACTCACTAGATCTCCAATACACACTCTGGGTCCTTCAAACATACACTAGATCCCCTACACAGACACTGCACCACCTGCACACAAACACTACATTTCTGACATACACACTCTGGATCCCCTATGCACACACTAGATTCCATGTAAGCAAACACGTAGTGTCTCCATAAATGGGATACAGTGAGAACAAGTTTCAAGCAAACACAATGCAAGCATGTTATTAAATTTGCTTACGCTGTGCAGAACAAATACAGGACCCTTTTCTCATGCCCTGGAAGAGCATTGAACCAGCATGCTCACTTTGAGATGAGGTGTGCTTGTCATTGAGGATGACAAAACACACCCTATCTGGCCCTGCCCCCTTTTAAGTGGGCCGCTGTGAATAAAAAATGCCCGAGTCGAATTTTATTCCCAGTCCGGCCCTTGCTTCAAGTCAAATTATTTTGTCCGAATTATAAAATTCATATGTCAGTTCTCCCCAGTTCCCAGTCTAGTGACAAGGTCCCCACAAATGGTAAAAGGTGGTTCTCTCCTAATGCTGTTTTAAACAGCCTCTGATTTCTTAATTTCTTCAATTCTATGTCAGTCTATGTCAATTTAATCTGGCCTTTAAATTCATACCAGTATATCACAATATGAAATGAAGATTTAGAATAGGTTTTTTCCTCTGTCATATTTCCGCATGCAATTATTTTCCAAACATCTTGATCTTTTACGAATTACGAATTCTGCCAATACTGGGGGGATGGGCTGCAGTATTCCCCAAAGAAAAGGAGATAGTGCCAATTTCTCCCACACACAAATTTGCAATCTGTACCATGCATCATTTATGACAGTTGCCTGGATGGCAAATTAAATGTCTAATATTGACACTAGTTAGACTACAATCCATTGGACGTCTTTAATAAGTAATGGTGATTGGTGACATTAGTAATGCGCCCTTGAATTTCTCTAAGTGTTTTGTTTTACCGTGTCTTAGCCAGATCAAATAACCTGTGCTTCACAGACAAATCTGGTTTCAAGTTATACAGGCATCATGGCTATAAGAGAGCAGAAAATAGAGAGACGGAATTGTGGATCTTCTTGTTTTAATACAGTATTGTATGCAGTGAACACACACACACATCCAAAGTCACTTTTTTTCCATACAAACCGTTACTGTTTTAGTAGTACAGTTGCCTGTCTAAAATGGACCAAAACTGTGTCCCCATGCTGTTTTCTGTGGGCTCCCAATGGTTGGAACAAGCACATCTTAATCATCAGGCACCATGCAATTGCTTACAAAAGTTTACTTTTCCTTTCTTACACTGGGAAAAGTCAAACCAATTTAATTAGAACAGTTATACATACTGCATAACATTTAAAGAATGGGTCTTTAAACTTCTTTTTCAGTTTAAGAATGGATTTCCATGCGTCATTTGTGTCCTGTGGGTGGGTGCAGGGCCGGTGCTAGACTATTTTACGCTTAGGCGAGATCAGTTACTTGCACACCCCCCAACAAACAAAAAAAATCCAACTTTGTGTGTCACATCCTCCCCTCAACCCCTTTGTGTGTCTTTCCCCCAGCCCCTTTACGTGTCTCTTTTTCCCATTCCCCAGACCTGTGTGTGTGTGTGTCATTGTCCCCTTCCCCAGTGCCTCTGTGTGCCTCTTTTTCCATCCTCAGCCCCTCTGTGTTTGTCATTGTCCCTTTCCCCAACCCCTCTGTATGCCTCTTCCCCCCCTCAGCCCATCTGAGTGCCAATTTGTCCACCCAGCCCCTCTGTGTTCTGCCTAATCTGTCCATCCATACCCTCCCAGCCCTTTGTGGGCTCTCCCCCTCCTGTGCCTGCTGTCCTCCCACCATGTAGCATAGCCAAGTGGACTGCAGTGAAGGATCCTTCTGTATCCTCTATCTGGTCTGACAGAAAGCTGCTCATTGCTCCCAGCAAGCACTTCCTGTCAGAAGGGGTTAAGGATACAGATCCTCTACTGTGGTCCACTCGGCCACACTACATAGTGTGATGGGCAGGAGGGGGAGCGCTGTGCAGTGCACTCCCCTCCTGCTGGTATCCAAGACATTGCACCTTGGGTGGCTGCCTCATTTGCCTAGTGGTAGTGCCGACCCTAAGTGGGTGACTGATGGGACAGTCCAAGCTGGGTAATCTTTTAGGCATTTTAACAGAATCAGGGCCAACTGGCACATTAAAAGAACAATCTAAGCACAAGAATAACTACAGTAGTCATTTTTTTTTTTTAATGATTCAACATCTTACCTAAAGGTCCACACCCCATGTCTAGTCAGAAGCTCTCAGTTTAGCTCATCTGCTGAGAGTGATCAGACAATGCTCTCAGCTAATGAGCTGGCCCTATGTTGGCCAGTGTATGGCATTTTTGAAAGCTGAGAGGAGATAAGGAACAGCACCCAGTGGACCCCAGGTAAGAAGTCAACCTATTCAAAATGGTTTGACTCCTGGTAATAAAGGGTTAGGGGGAGCAGCAGCACACTGTAGTGGTTTTAGTGCTTGAGGGGCTCCTTTAAGACACAAAATCAGGAGTGCAGGAACAAATGGATATAGGAAAAAAATAAATACAACATCCATTCTTGGAGGTCACCTACAGTGGACAGGCCAGCTAACCCGATTCTCGATTAAACATGGCATTGTCCAATTTGTTTAAATTAATGATAGATAGATAGATAGAGATCTCTTACCTGTACTATTCTCTACCACACCCTTTCTCACAGGACGGTATGAGTTCATGGTGGGTTTTGCCTGTTTACTCAGACTTGCTTATAAAATAGTGTCTGATTTAAAACTGAGGCAGGTGTGTCAACTGGATTATGAACTAACCCATTAGTCACAGGGCAAAATAGTTCTGTGCTGCAAGGCATTCTTAAAGCTACTGTCACTTTCAGGAGTTTTATGTATGTTGCGGAGACCCCTGAAGGTGACATCTTCGCCTTGTGTGTGGCAGCCGAGGGTTAAAGCGTAAGGTAGATAGATACTTACCTGAAACTACTTATTTTCGGAGCTGCCATGAGTTTCTTCAATTCCTGGCACTTCTTCTACTGCATTACTGCGGTACTCTTGTGCATGTGCCAGAACACAACAGAATCTGGGACCACATGAACTTTCAAAGACCAACTTGAACAATGTGCACCTACTAACCTGGACAATACTCATAAGTCAAAGAAGTCCCTGATTTGTCTTACATCTCCTGATTGCTTGAGAATTTCAGTGAAATTCCAATGCAGCTTCAATAAGTATTCCTGAATGATTGTATCTTTATGGAATAGTCATAAAGTGGCCAGAGATGACAAAGAGACTTTAAAAGGCACTCTCGCAACATCAGCCTATATTTTCTTCAATCCTATAGCTCTCTCGCATTTCCTGGTTCTAGAACATTTTTTGATCACATGTAATTTCAAGTATTCCCGTGTGCCATCCAAAAGTGTTTCTGTCAATGAATCACATGGATGGCTAGTACAGCTACTAAGTAAATATTAACAAGGGATTCATGTTGAATTCAGAATACATCTAATGAACTATTCATGCATAATTAAAATTAGAAATAAATTACAATATTATTACCTGTTGGTTTTTTTCCAAATAAGAAAATACTTCTTAAAGGAATACACCAGGAACCAAAAACACTTCATCTCTTTGGTTTTATTTTCTTATTGTGAACTATTTTCAGTTTTTTAGATGAAGTGATAAATATACATTTCCTTTTTTATTTTTCATAATTACATTAACAGTCAATTCTAAGACAGAAATATAGCCAAGCTAATACACGAACATTGTACTTTGAAAAACTTGGATTAAGTGATGTCTTTCGAGTAAAACATACAACATAATATCGGTTTTCTGAAACTGAGGGTACTTTCATTAAACAGCGTGTTGCGAGTTTAAGATTTATCTTCAAAACCTTAGCAGTTGGATCTTATCTACAAGCAGAATCTATGTTTTGATGCACATTCCGTTTTGGCCAAGGTCAACATTACCTGTCAAACTGGATCTTTGTTGGAAACAAAGCACCCAGGTATACATGTTTAGAGACAGGCAAAGGCTCACAATGTTTGCCTGCTGATTTTCTCCTGCTATTTTTATCTGCAGCCACAAAACCCTGGCATACTAGTGGCTCAGGAGGCAGATGCCCACTTTACCAGCTCTCCCATGAGAGAGAGAGAGAAAGACATGGAGAGGGTGCATGGGGTGAAAGGGTTTAGAAAGACAGTGCAAGGGGAAACCTTTTTTTAAAGCCGCTAAAAGAATGTTAAAGAAAAGGTTCCATGTAATTAAATTCTATCAGTGCAGATCCTTCTCTTTCGTTTTAATTAGCAATTTATTCCTGTTGGCAATCCGTGAACCTGTTAAACTGGTTTGTAAACCAAACGGAAAACATTTCCCATATCTTCTACTGAATAGCAGCCAATCTGACAACAAGCAAATCTTCTAAGTCTCATAAATAATTGTCCGAGTACATGGCCTCAGTTAAGATTGCGAAAGGAGAAATTAGAAATCTCTAAAGGCGTATTATTGTGTGTTTTGTTTTTCCTTTATAACATTCTCAATACCTGCTTAATTTCTTTATATATTTATTAATACGTTTCATCCACCAAATGTTTTACAGAAACCATCTTTATATCAACTAATACAGCTTCGTATGTTCTGGTACTGTTCTAGATGTTACCTTTCTTTTCTCTGTTTCAGAGCAATGTTTACATTTGGCTGAATTTTTTTTTTCAAATGTCTTCACTTTCTGCTTTATCAAGTGCAGCATGATTAAGCTAAACACCTTTAATGCTTGTTATACAGAAGCATTGGAGTCCGTGCTTCTCTCTGAGAAGCATTTTGATTGACCTAGTACAAGGGTAGGTGGCCTTCAGCACTCCAGATGTTGTGGACTACATCTCCCCTGATGCTTGGCCAGCATACTAGCTATAAGAGCATTATGGGAGATGTAGTCCAAAACATCTGGAGTTCCAAAGGTTGGCTACCCCTGGCTTAAACATTGATTGCTGCACATGTATCCTGTATACTTCTCCAAAAGAGGCACTAGATTAGACAAAGAGCATCTTCACTGATCTCACAAAATGGGTATCAGAGATAAAAACGTCATGCTCTTGCATTACAGGTAAATGTATTTGTTTTTTTTAACAAAGAGGGATCTAAATTAAACATAGTAAGGGACACATTTATTTGCAAAGTGAAATGGTTCTTTTAACAATGCAAGGACTTGGGATATACATCATCAAACCCATACATTTCAGTCTGCAATAACCTGCAAATAGTTTGTAGTTATCATTTATTGTAAAGTTATAAATGTTGGATACATTATTATTTAACGTGTACAGTCATCAACATGGAGAGAACCAGTACTCGAACTCTATGCCTCTTTGTAGCTTCCAGTTTATATTGTGTGGTAAGGGGTCATTTGTTTCCCTAGCCTCCACGGCAACGCAGCTGCTTAGATTGGACATTGAGGCAGATCAAAGAAAATCAGAGTTCTCAAACCTAGCTTTGAACTTGCAGAGGACCAATAAACAGCTTACGTTTTCTTCAAGAGGTACCACTAGAGTCAGATTGTCCTGGTGCCCTTTGTAGTAAGCTCTCCAAATAGCTTTCCCTCCAGGCAGGTCACACAAGTAATGAACGTGAGAAAACATTGACGTAATCCACATTAAAGGAAAAGGGGAAAAAAAGTACAATTAATGGATTACTTATCGGTGTATGTTTTCTCTGCACAGCGTCCATGTACTCTGAGATTCAGAGGGAATCGCCCGACATCGGAAGTATTTTGGCACATCCCGATTACTTGGAAGGAAACCCGGAGCTTATCAAGCCCAAAAAACTAGTTAATCCAGTAAAAGCATCGAGAAGTCATCAGGAGCTCCATCGAGAACTGCTAATGAACCACAGAAGGTCAGAATATTATTATTTACCACAAATCACAGTAGCTGTACTTTTACACAGGAGCCTGGTCGGCTGTGAGTTTTCACTTGTCGGCTTAGAATGTGAAGCTAACCCTTTGCGTGTCGGTGATACATCAATGGTGCACCCTCTTGACAGGCATATATTATTGAAACATATCCCTGCCACAATCTTACCCATTCCAGGCCCAATTTATATTAAGCAAATATGGGGGGTTATTATGATTATTATTGCCATTTATATAGCGCCAACAGATTCCGTAGTGCTTTACAATTTTATAAGAGGGGGGATTTAACTATAAATAGGACAATTACAAGAAAACTTACAGGAACAATAGGTTGAAGAGGACCCTGCTCAAACGAGCTTGCAGTCTATAGGATATGAAGTATGAATCATCAACTCATGTAAAAAGTATTTTCCCCCTTCTAATTAAAGCTGTTGAAATATATTTTTATGCAGAAAAATCTACCTAGTTCGATTATTTTGGATTATTCCACTGACACCATTAAAATAATTTGTACAATTAAGATTTCTGGCACGCAATTTATTTTTCACATAAAACCCTACGGCACTACCATTAAAACTTGTAAATAAAAATTTTTAAAAAAGCTTGTAAAAATGTTTTTACATGTTATATTTATTGCAGAAATTTGGATTTAATGCAACGTTTCTGTTTAAAAGTATTTTTTTTCCTGAAACTCAGATATTTAGCAGAAATAATGTAACAATTTCATATGGTTACACTCTGTTAATGTACAGAGACTACGTGGTAACATATCCAGATCACTACATGAACTTGCCAAGTACAGTCTTGTAGGTCAGCAATCCTGGAATTCCTGATTACACAAAAGCCCATGGTTTCATTTACACAAAAGGTAAAAGGCAGGTAATGAGGTCACAAGGGAATCCTGCCCGAACACTAACCTTTCTATATACTGCTACATTCTCATCACTTTGAGTTTCAAATAAACTTTGCTTTGAGCTTTCTGAAGTCCTCTGAAAGGAAAACTTAATAAAATGCTATTTAGAGCATATATCTTATTTACTGGGGAACACAACAAGCTTGACTTTTTTAATGGATTAATAGTAATACATTAAAATACAGAAGGTACGTACTTACATTTAAAGTTCCTGAATTTGTTTCACATGCCCAAACTTTACAGCCCAAAGTTTGTTTGTTTTTTACTTGATAAGTACATCACATTAGTACATCAGGAACTAAAAATGTACATCTCCATAGTCAGTTTTCCACATTTCCCAGACTAGTGAATAAGTCCCAATTTTGTTTCATATGGATCGAATTTGGATTAAAGAAAACAGTAATTGGACACATGTATTGAAATCATACATTAATTTTATTTAAAGGGACACTATAGCCACCAGAACAACTACAGCTTAATGTAATAATAGCTGTAATAGCTCCCTTTAGGCATTTTCATGTGAACACTGCCTTTTCAGAGAACGGGCTGCGTTTACATTGCCTCTAGGGACACCTCCACGTGGCCACTTCAGATGGCCACTGGAGGTGCTTCCTGGCTCAGTGCTGCACAGTAAGCAGCCCTGCCGTTCAGCATCCCCACACTCTGCATGGAGACGCTGAATTTTCCTCATAGAGCTGCATTGATTAAATGCATCTCTATGAGGAGGTTCTGATTGGCCAAAACGGTGTTTGGCCCTGCCCCCTTGCTAATTTTAGCCAATCCAATTCCCAATCCATGGGAATGTTGTCACTTAGGAGCTAGGGCCAGCACCGGCAGACCCGTAGAGAGCTGAACTACGGTAAGTTTTAACCCATTCTGAGTGGGCTAAAGTGGGGGGGGGCCAAGCCACCTATATGGTAGGTTTTCACAATAGGGTCAGAAATACATGTTTGTGTTTCTGACCCTATAGTAATCATTTAAAGGAACAATCCAAGCATGTTTACGGTGCCAGTAGTGCCCTAGTTCTTGGGAACAGTCAAAAAAAATTCAGTGTGGCTTGACAACTTACATTGGTCCCCTGGGTGCCACGTAGCCATTTTGCAGGGGAAGCAAAAGATTCCTGTAAAGTAAAGCCTGTGCAATGCAGTACGGTGCTTATTAACACTCAACTGATGCTCTTAGGAAATTAGTGCTGTCCTGCATAACCCTGCTTAGCTCTGTAGAGATAACCATAATATTCTGCAGCAGAAGAATAGGATGCACTGCCTGTTGACCAAGCGTGGACAGTGGGACCCAGGTAAGATGTCAAAATGTGACCAAAATGGTTTGACTACTTACTACTGGAATGTGCCAGGGCACTCATGGCTCTATAATTACCACAGCAGAATTTACTGATCATGGAACTTGGAGTGTTCCTTTTAAAAACAAAAAGCATTTTAACAGACTAATTTGAATTTCAAACATTTCATTTCAAATAAGACTGTGGTTACAAATCCTTCTGACTCATAATTCACTTGGGATCATTGCTTAATATAGCTGAGAACGTGGTTAATGTCCTAATTTATTTAATTTACTTTTGTGACGGATCCTCGGGTAACCTAAGCTGGATAAATGTCTCCCCAACCACCACCCCTCTCTCAAAAGACTAATTATCACTCTCCAGCCTGTGCCTCCCAGCCCAACACCTATTTCTAGCAGCTCCGGAATCACCTTTCACCGGTCAGGGGGCTGCTGAACTATGGTGCGCCAGACCAGGAGCAACCCTCAACTTTCCTGGAACTCTAAAGCGGATTGCAGAGTCACCGCGGTCCGTTGAAACTTCAACCAAAGCACTCTCAGTCCATACCTTAATTTAACTCATTATTACAAAGGGTTTAGGCATGTTACACCCAGGGGTGAACTAAAAACTCATACGGCCCCAAGCAATAGGAAAACATGGGGCCCCCTTGTGCCCACATACACACACCTCCTGTATGTACAGTTTTGTGTTACAGAAAGGGTTGTAATATGGCGGTTAGGGGCTTTTGTTGGGGACAGGAGCTGTAGTGTGTGTGTGACCGAGGCTGTTTTGGAGTAATATGGACTGAAGTGGGGGCTTATGGGTTGTAGTGGGGGTGATAGGGATTGTAACTGGGGGTATAAAGACTGTAGTGTGATGGTTGAGTTTGTTAGAGGCCCCTTTGTGCCCGCTATACCCATATAAGTATCGCCCACATACACACACCTGCCACATGTACATCCTTATGTTACAGAAAGGGTTGTAATGTGGCAGTTAGGGGCTTTTGTTGGGGACTGGAGCTGTAGTGTGTGTGACAGGCGTTGTTGTGGAGCAACAAAATAAATATTTAGTCGCAATATATAATGGATGCCATAGCCATGTTTGATAAAGAAATGTAATAATGGGGAATTTGTGTTCAGGTGAGATAGAACTCTCACTGCAAAACAGTTAGCCGTAGCCTTTACTGGTACATTTAACCAATACTGATATAAACCATCACAGCTAATTATTTGTTGGTTTTTTGATGGGATCGGCAATAAAGCTGAGACATTGGACACTTTTACGTTATTTTTTTTGAAGTTTAAACATTACAGAATAAACATTTTTAAAAAATTATTTAAAAAATATTGAGTATTGTTAATGTTTTATTACTGATCAAAGCTTTTCAAAATAGGTATATAGACGTGTATTTTATGTACATATTTCTAAAGCAACGCCACCCTCTGCTGGCAAAATAATGCCTTACAGCTGGTTCTGATTATTAGGGATCCTAATTGAGTTTCAAGATAAAGTTGAAGACGGCAGGATTTACATCCTAAAATACTCCCTAACCCATCAAAAGGCATATAAATTAGTATAATGAATTCCTTAACATTGGATATGGCAAGCCAAAACCAGTAATATTTGTAAAACATTATAAACATAAAAACAAACAAAAAAAACAAAAACAAAACAACAACAGTAATATTTGAGAGTTATGAGTCAAATTAAACAGCATGGGAAAATTCCACACAGCTTTCCCAAGCTGTGTAAAATGACACAGAGCACAATGATTGGTTGGATTTCAAGCCAATCAAAGTGCTGTGACAGGTAAATTTAGAGAATTACCTGTCATTCTCTTCATTTACCTATCAGAGTACTCTGGTTTGTTGGCAACCAATCAGAGCGCACTGAGCGTACTTGCAGGGCGTGGGAAGGCTTTATAAGCCTTTCCCCATCCTGCGGAGCTTAGTCTGTGCCGTGCCCTCCATGGGTGAAGATGGATTCTTTTTTAGTGTTGGGTTGTTTTTTCTGCGTATTTTTCTTTTTTTTTGCACTCCGTTTATTTTATTTTCAAAGTCCGACGGGTATTATGGACTTTTATTTGGCCTTTTTGGGGGCTGAAAAAAGATTTTAGAAAAAAAGAAGACATCAAATGGTAAGTTATTTCTTATTTACAGGGATTTAGTTTTATTGTTCCCCCCTCATTATTTTTAGGGTGAGGGGGGTAGGTAGGGGTTTATTAAATTTTTTTGGGTGGAGGGGTGACTAGGGGCTTGGAGACCCCTAGTCACTTGGGGGTGGTTAACATTTTCATTTAGGGCCCCCACACACCGCTCATCGGTGGGGGCCGAGGCGGAGGACAATAGGTCCCCCCATTTGTTATTTTGGGCCCCCACACGCTGCCCTGGGGTGGGGGCTGGGGGGAGGACAATAGGTCCCCCCTATTGTTATTTAGGGCCCCCACCCGCCACTCAGGGGTGGGGGCCGGGTAGGTGAGGACAATAGGCCCCCCCTTACTGTTATTTAGGGCCGCCACCTCCCGCTCAGAGATGGGGCCCAGGGGTAGGACAATAGGTCCCACCCTATTGTTATTTAGGGCCCCCACCCACCTCTCACAGGTGGGGATCAGGGGGAGGAAAATAGATCCCCGTTATTGTTATTTAGGGCCCCCAGCCATTGGTCAGGGGTGGGGGCAGGAGGGAAGGACAATAGGTCCCCCCCTACATTTTCATTTAGGGCCCCCACCCGCCGCTCATGGGTGGGGGCCGGTTGTCGGGTGGGAGGATAATAGGTGGAAGTCCTAAATTACAATAGGGGGGATTGTAATTTAGGACTTCCACCTGCCGCTCATGGGTGGGGATGGGGTGGGGAGGACAATAGGTCCCCCCCTCCATTTTCATATAGGGGGGATAATAGGTCCCCCCTATTGTAATTTAGGGCTTCCACCTGCCGCTCATGTGTGGGGATGAGGGCTGGGGGGGACAATAGGTCCACCTTTCAGTTTAATAGCCCCCCACTTGCATGGCACGGGTGGGGGCTTGGGAGGGGGGGGATATTAGGGTTTTTCAATTTTTTTTTTTTTTACATTTTAACAATTATAAACAAATCTGTTTACTAGACATGTCCCTACTCGCGGCATACTTTACTTAGTATTAGTAAATTTGGCTGAAAGTCCAATTTAGGTCTTTCAACCTTTTGGTAGATAGCTCCCTAATACCGTGGGAATTAGGGAGTTATCTACTAAGCGGCTGCAAGATGCAGCCATGGCACAAATAGGATCAGAGTTTCATTCATTCAAATGAAATTCCGATCCAAACAAAGTCCCGAAATGTGTCCGTACATGAATGAACAAGCTGTTCTCATTCTGTTAGGACGAAATTCAGTGGTGTCGTCAGCGTTCTGTCTAAATGACAGGACGTTCGGGAATACTGACAGGAAGCATCACGAGATCGCAGATCAAAGGTGAGAATTGTGGGCACACTTTGCTCCTCCGCTGGTCAGAGATGGTCAGTAGTCCCTACTTTGTCTTATGTTTTAAAGAAAACTAGAGCAGATAGTAAGGAACAGACAGCAGATCCTGAGAGAGGGAGAGAAGAGGAATTGATTAAAAAGGTAAGTTTGGTATGACAGTGCCGCTTTAATAAGAGCGAGGGAGGGTGCAAACTCCGTCCAAAGGAGCAAATTGTGCCTGGAGAATTTATAATCTTGGTCCGCAGGATGCCCAATGTGTGGGTGCGGTAGCTGACTGCCACTTGGGAAGTTGGGAAAGGGAGACATGTAAGAAGAGGGAGAGATGCATGGAAAGACGAGGGAGGAGATATGGAAGGAAGTAGGTAAGAGAGACAAAGAAGGAAGGGGAGGAGAGAGACTTGGAAGGAAGCGGGGGGAGAGGGACATGGAATGTATGGGGAAGAGGGACATGGAATGTAGGGGGAAGAGGGACATGGAAGAAGGGGGGAGATACACATGGAAGGTCGAGGGAAGAGATATGGAAGAAGGGGGAAGAGGGACATGGAAGGAAGTAGGTAAGAAGGACATGGAAGGATTATTTTGTTGAAGTAGGTAAGAGGGACATGGAAGGAAGGGGGGAGAGTGACATGGAAGGAAGGGGGGGAGATAGAAATGGAAGGAAGGGTGGAAGACACCTGGAAAAAAGGAGGAGACACATGGAAGTGGCCGACTGCTCTTAAAGCAAGCTTTTCCAATGTGAGATGCTGTAAGTTGGCATGTGGGAAGTGATCCCTTACTGTCCAGCCTTACATACAGGCTCTGGAAGAGCTGGGACAGCACTAAGTTTATACCCTCCAAAAAATGTCCCAGCAGATCTGCCTAAACTACAGTGGACACTATAGGGACCTCTAGTGGCTTCAATCAGGACTACATAAATGAATCTTCTACAGGCACACTCCAAGAACCAATACAACTTTAACCCCTTAAGGACACATGACGGAAATTTTCTGTCACGATTCCCTTTTATTCCAGAAGTTGTGTCCTCAAGGGTTTAAAGGACTTCCTCGTACACAATAACAACGTCATCTCAATTAGGTTATTGTGCCAGGAGGTCCTGGGTGCTGTTTTGCCTTAAGGGGTTAAACCATTCATTAAACTTTCAAAGACAGTACCAGTTCACTTTGCCCAACAAATTCCTTCAGAAGTGTGAGACTTTAATCGGGAAACCTCAGACTGGGCAACGTTGATAAGTGGGGAGTGTAGACTGATGCTCTCAGTGTACCACTAGCTCTTCATACACAAAACTGAGGAAAAAAGATGCGTACCTTGTTATCGTGCCCAGATTGGTCTTTTAGTGCATTAATTTGCTTTATTTTTATTTTTATTTATTTTTTTGCTATGCTCAAATCTTTATAAATGTTTTGCAGAATGATGTACTATAAGCCTGTCTCCTTACCCAAACTCCCTGTATCCCAGAAAAAGAGTTCTTTATTAACCACTGACAGCACTGAGACCATTAACCCAAGCCCCTAAACAACTTCTGTTAAACCGTTTAACAGAGTGTCCCCACTTTTGTCACTTCAGAAACATTTCAAGAGTAGTTGGTACTTTTACAAAGTGGCATGGTAGCCCCCTCCCAGGTATCAGACAGCTAGCAGCCCTTCCTCAATGCTTTGTGCACCAGTACAAAGCAGAAGGCTATGTTTCTCATAGAGACCTATTTACCTGCATAACAACATATACCTGTATCTTTCCCTTAGAGGTTTGGGGATTGACAAAAAGCCAGAGTTGCAGCGAGTCCTGGAACATCGGAAGAGAGACAAAATCATTCAACAGAAGAAAGAAGAGGAAGAGATTAAGAAGCTGCAATCTCCATTTGAACAGGAGCTTTTAAAGAGGCAACAGCGGCTTGACCAGGTAACCCAACACTGGCAGAGGATTGTTTGTATTTTGTAGGAGTGTTTTTTTCAAAGAACAATGAAGTTGTTTGTTTGTTTTTTGCTTTGTTTTGTTTTTAAGTGGGGCTTGCCATGCCTGTTTCACCTCAGTAAGGTGAGAGACAGCGACCTAACAAAAGCAAAGACAGGGGGATAGGCATAAGGCTATCTTAAGGCATAAGGCTATCCTAGCTATAAGATAAGGCCAGGGACTAATGAAAGTATTTAGAAAATTGGGCAGACTAGATGGGCCGAGTGGTTCTTATCTGCCGTCGCATTCTATGTTTCTATGAGGCATATTACCTGACGTTAAAGTGGCTAGGCTAACGTAAAAGTAGAACTATGAAATATCTGGACTAGACTAAGGGAATGCTACAAATCAGGAAAGGAACAAAATCTGAAAAATACAATATACACGGTACCAGACACAGGCAGGTACCAGGAAAATGGAAACGAAGGAGTACTTGAGACGGGTAAGTGTCAGGAACATGGAGAAGGGTAAGTTCAGTAAACAAGCCAGAGACTGGTAAACAGGCCAGGTAGTCCGACACAAAGGCAGGAGTGCAGAAGGGTAGTCAAGGCTAGCGGGGTCAAAAGAAAAAAAAACACAAAGTCAAAGAAGAAGTCTGGTATTGTGGAGGTACAGGAAACATGGCGCACATATGGTGGTTTTGTCCAAAATTAACCAGATATTGGATGATGATTCATGATTTCATTATTAAAGTGGACAAATATATAGGTATCTTGGCATCAGAACTAGCACTTTTTAATAAATTCCCGGAGTCTGTTGCAAAAATTGACAAAATAATTATAGGCCACATCCTAATCGCAGCTACTTCATGTCTACCTCGATACTGGAAGTCTAAAAATGTACTTACACGTAAAGAAATTTTGACCATGGTATTAGGTAGTAAAGCAAACAAATTGTCTTAGAGAAAGAATACTTTATGTGCAAACCATCAACATATTTGGGAAAAATGGGAAGAAGATATTAAAAAAAACTTATTGCTTATAGAATATAGATTGTGTTAAGTTCAAAGATGTATAACTACTGTTTTGTACAATATTCCATATGTTTATTTCTATGGATGGATCCCCTTTCCTATTTCCAAGTTTCTCTTCCCTTTCCTTCCCCGAATATTATGTTTAACTATTCTTTATTATTTGTTGTGTAATACATTATAACCTTAATACAAATTATTTGAAAAAAAGAAATCTGGTTACAGGTGTTTTTACAGTGGTGGTATTTCCAATGAAGGAACACTTGCTCTGTAAAGGGCACCCGTCATGTTCCAACAAGACTGGTGTTTGTCTATCTTGCGCCCTAGGCAAGACCAGCTATATGCATTAAACATTTTAACACGATATATAGAACTTTTAATGCCTTAGAAAATTATCTGAATAAATGTGTGTGTTATACTTATGTATATATCTTTTTCTTTTTCATTTAGCTTGAAAAAGAACAAGAAGCTGTTAAAGAAGATGGACACGCCCCAGAATTTATTAAAGTTAAAGAGAATCTGAGGAGAACAGCCACCTTACAAGAGAGAGTGGAGTAGACTCTGCCACGCCTGTATTAACATATCCCTTTACCAAGCAGGCTTTCTTCACTGTACTCGTTTAACGTTACAGCTAAGTCTTCTGGTGGATGTATCCTAATCACATGTACTCTGGCAGGAAGCCGATTCCTGGGTTTGTGCTCCATAAGGATGCTTTAACATTTCCTTATCGCTGCGTTAGTACATGATGCTTACTTTTAGCGCCAAGTGGGATAACCTGTTTCGTTAAATGGATCATTGGGTTTGTCGCAGATTGTGGTATCTTTGTCATAACGGACTGTTTACAGTAGACCTTACAAGCCATGTGGTGTGCATATGCTTTTTATATGTCTCAAATGAAAGGTCAAACAAGCCTTCTATGTAGGAACCAATTAAAATTCTCCTGCAGAAGACAAGTAGATGCAACCTAATGAAGATGCAGCCGGCATCCACACGTTTAGAGGAAGATAAATGGACTGGAGCAATCTATACAGTTATTTTTTAATAGCCCGTTATGAATATGAACTGGTGTTACGTAAAAGTGCAAAAAGAACTACTGATATTGAGTCTACCACATGGTGTGTGATCACCATCACCATACATGTGTGAAGATAGCTAGCATGTGTGATGAGTTTCTTCAGTCTGTTGGTCTCAGACTTCCTTTGCCATAAGGCTGCCAATTCGGATCAAAAATCTAACTATCACATTTTAAACTCAGCTGATCAGAACTTCCCTAAGAATACATTCTACCTTGGAGTCCTAAAATCCTATTTAACAGATAAGTGGTCTTCAGTTGTAACTATGTCCTCATAAGGGTGGCCAGGTCGCCTGCTTTTAAACTCCGTTTTATTTTTTTAAGGGACAGTTCTACATTGAGCTAAATTAGTCTGTAAACACATAAAAAAACGTATAGCGGCTCTTCACAAAAATACTGTTTTAAAGATTATTTTCTGAATGACTTTGTCTGCAACAGTTTATCTATGGTAGAAGAAATTTACACTTTTCACTTTCTGAAAAGTAAATTCCTGGTTTCGTCCCATCATAATTCTTTATAAAGCAAACAAAGAGACAGGGTTAAAATAGAGGTTAACAATCATGGGGAGGACTCCATCAAGGTCATTCAACTCATATTTTTTATTTTTATGATGGGCAGACATTTGAGGGTGATAAACTAGTTGGATCTGTATAAGTAATTAGGTTTTCTACTGAAGTTCCTTTGTATTAGAGAAATATATGTTGTATTTGACTTAAAAAAAAAAATCTCTAAAGAGAACGACTTCTGAGGCACAATTTGTAGCCAGTGTCCAAATATGAATTGTATTAACCAGTTATATAAAATTATACTTCAAAACAGTTCAGGCCTGTCACACTGACAAAATGTGGTATTATCAACTCACACACAAATACATATACACCCACAGCCATCATGATTTTTTTATTTATCTTTATTCATTATTAGGAAATAGAGATGTACACGTATATATCAAATATAACATTTAATTGAATGATGTAAGCATTAGAACAATTAACATACTATGTAATGTAGGCCTAGACATTGGGCACACAGGACCTGTGTCACGTGGTCTTGACTGATGGCCAACTGAGGAGATAAATGGATCTACCCAGCTGGCCCTGTGAAGTAGTCAACTTGCAGCTTCCGGCTTGCACACCAGCGAGCCAGTTGCAGCTTCCTACTGTCCGTGTTGCTGCTGCTTTTTGGGCACGATCAGAGGGAGTCATAGATGCCTCTGCTGCTTACTTTATGGAGCTCTGATTATTCAGTTTGAAACAGAAAGCAGTACAGGTCTCTGTAATTCCCACACATTATGCTTATGCAGCAACAAAGACTTCTAGTAATATAATGTATGTTCACAGTTATACATTTATTTACTACCTATATTTAGAGCGCATGCTTTCAAGATCTCCTTCAGGCACGAATATTATAAAATCAACAAGGGATACTCGGGTCTTGAGAATGTGCACTCGTATGGAAGCGAAAAAGATTGCTGTAAAAAGGAACTCCTTACAAAATAAAGAAATGGGATTATTCTTATTTGCACCTTAAAAAAAAATACAGAACAACCTATTTAATTGAACAAAAATGAAAATAATGAGTGAAAATTAACATAAAAAACATTTTAAAAGAGCTCCACCGTATTTATCTTTTATGTATCATGAAATAACATGTTAAAAGAACGTCACCATATTTATTTAGCAATGAGATTGGCCAACATAATAAAATAGTTCTATTTTGTTAAGTTTATGTGCAGTTACGAAATGTATTTGTGACTTGCTAGTCCATGCCTTCTTAACTATAGTTAACCTCCTTAACCATAGTTCCCCAACCTTACTCTTCTTACCTCCTTTTTATTTGTAGATAACATGGTTCCACAATACTGGTATTACGATCTAGTTGTGTCAATTCAAAATTTGTTTTGATAAACCAGTTCGTGGGTCAAGCAGCATTGTTTGCACCCATGCAAATTCTATTGATCTGAAAGTCTCATCTATGAATTAGTTTTTTCATATATACAATATAACCCATTTGAAAAATGACCATCATTTGCTTGTTCACCAAGAGTTAGGGCCATGATTTTCATCAGACATCCTAAATGATTACTTGGCGCTGAAAAATACATTCCTGTTTAATTATAGGTTTAGGAGTATCTTAATATGTTCACTGCAGGACATTACATTATGTAACCTACCAAAGTATATATTCATGTGAGTGCACCCAAGGATGCTTCTTGCCTGGGGAACCACATTTTTGAAGATTTTTAATGCACTTACTATATGGGCAAAAACACAAAATCCAGGCAGGTCTCTAATTACAGGTGTTCTTCCTGTCTGGAATGCCACGTAAAAATAAAATGTAACATAATCTAGCACTTGTTGGGTTTGATGTGACACGACTCTCTAGTGTTACACCATGTTCTTTAAAAGAATTGGCAATCTCGAAAATTTCTTAATAGTATGTGCGTTGTGAGTGTTCAGACAAAGCAATTATTCTAATTTTTTAATGACTTCTTACAAAGAGAAAGATGAGTCACAAATACAATAGGCTGGTTCAAAGTGTCCCTTTATCAAAATATAATTATATCATTTAAAACACATAAAACAATAAAGAACATAGAGCCACACTCAGGCTGTAGGCGGAACTACAGCGATCGTTTTTGTAACTACAACTAAGGCATTTCTGCTATACCAAGGAACCATATTGCTTAAATAGGACACTACACTTCAAGTAGAAATGGAACGCTGGAGAGTTCATGCTGCCCAATAGATCCATGTACCAGCTGCAGAGTCCACATACAGAAAACCTAATTTTCAAATGGACTAGATCTAAGCTTCTTAGTAAATGCAGTTTAACTCAAAGACTAATGATCTACACAGCCGCACAATTAATGCTACTGTTGGTGTTATATTGATACCAGCGTTCTCAAGAGGTAATATAGCTTACAATCAAACACTTGTATGAGGCATGCAAGACACACAACCTTTAACTGACCTTCAAATTGTTCCTGTTTAATTCTGCCTATTCACTTGTTATTGATTTTATCTTTGCGTTCTGCAATTAAGTACGTTATCCGCAGACATATTATATTCCCTGTGTTTCATCAATCAATACATTTTAAAAGTCAAGCATCACATGAGAGACTGAACCTTTAGCACAATAATCAGGGTCAGACAAATCATTTTAGGTCACGAAGGGGCGAAAATGAAGGCACCACATGGTTCACAACCCCCTTACCCACATTATCAGAGCATTTGTTAACATTTAACAAAAAATATATATATTTCTATAAAGTCCTTATTTTTATATAGATATATAGTCCTTTCTAAAAGTAGGTATCCTACCGAATGGCTGGCACTTGGCACTGAAAGTGTTATTTTGACTCGCATGTCTCACGAAGGATAGTTATACTTAGGAAAAGTGTGTTACTTAGGTGCCTTATTGTATGGCTGCAAAAAAATATATATATAATAGATGGACATATTTTTCATCATCTTTTTACTTTGAGTCCCATTTTATTTTTATTTATTTTTTGGTTGTAGAAAGCAGGCATGTATTAGTCATATACCACTTGTCATGGGGGCTTGTCACTTCACTGCATAACATGAACATGAATTACTTTAATTAGTTTCCACACAAATCTACCAGCTTATATTGTAACAGGGTATTCATGATGAACAAACAAAAAAATCTCTGCTGCTAATGAATGCCCCATCCCATGCAACAGCAACGTAAACAGTGATTGGTTTTTATTATTATTTTACGGTCCTTCTCTTCTTGTACAAATGGCAATGTTTAGTTGTTGATTAAAAAGACGCTGACTGGAAGTACCCCCTTACTTTTTTCAAAGCATGATAGTATTTGTTAACAAACATGCAAACAATAAAAAGAAAAAAAAAATACAGGTAAAAACTATATTCACCTCTAAATATTTAACCCCTTAAGGACCAAACTTCTGGAATAAAAGGGAATCATGACATGTCACACATGTCATGTGTCCTTAAGGGGTTAAAGATGACAGCACTTGCAGAGGTAAAATCTTCCAGCAGATAAATCCCACTCACACCAGATAGATGTTTCACCAAGAGGGAGCCTCTCATTCAAGTCTGTGAACTTTTTCCTTATCCCGTAAACTGCTGTGTAGTTCATATCTCACAAGTGTCCCTATTTAGGAGGAACAGTCCCTATTCTGGACCCAAATCCCCCTGTCTATCTTTTCTATCCAAATCCAAATGTCCCTCTTTTCTATTGTACTCACAGCAATGTGTCTTTAAACTACAATAAATGTGATTAGAAATCAGTCTGTGTAAATAAGATACATTGCTCTTGTTCTAAAATTACATTTTAGTTTTATAAATTGTTATTAGTAAGTCACCTAAAATTTCTCAAAACAGCCCTGCCCCTGGACACACCCTCACTCGTACCCCTAAAATTAAAATGTCCCTCTTTGACAATTTGAAATGTTGGGAAGTTTGGTAGTTTCGTCTGGATTTAGTTTTGTGACTGAAGCTATAAGAGGAGGAGATGGGCTTGCCCCATGAACAAGCCAGGAGTAAGGACTGAGAACCAGGGGGTAGTGTTATAGCCACAGCAAAGTTTTGCTATTATAAAGTGCCGTGTGCAGAGGAACTCTATGATCCATGGTCTATGCAAACAGCATAAACCATTTTGATGCCTAGAGAGCTTTTAACATTTTTCTAATAATATCATCCTACAGCATCTCCTTAAAAAAAAAAATCTGAAAGGACACTGTAACATAAATTTAATGCTTAATGTTTAGGACCTTATAAATATTTAAGTTCCAGAAAAGGAAGTACATTATTTATGGTTATATTGTATCTATATAGATCATATTTCAAGAAAGAGAACTTAATGGACCACACCAAATTCCATAACCACTAATCCACGCTAAAGAGTTTATTGTACCAGGAGTGCCCTGGTGAGCCCCATGGTAAGTATTCAAGCTGTTTTACAATAGATTGACTACTTACCTGAGGTTTGCCAGGCACCTCTTTACACCTCCTCTCAGGAGCTTCGGACTCAGAGACAGAAGCTCCTTTTTAGGAGTTTCTGTTGTGTCTCTTGAGCAAGGCCCCACAGTGCAGGAAGACTTGGACAGGGCACCATTGATAGGCTGAGAGCATCAGTTGACATTATAAGCCTATCAGTAGCTCACCATTGAGAAAAGACAGTGAAAAGGATACGTACCATTTTCAGTGTCTTTACTCAAGGGGACCTACTGATAGATCAAGAGTCTATTCCGATGAAGTTGCTATGGTGCCCCGTATATTGAAGCCGAGCTATGGATTATTTTTCCCAGAGATTATGTTGTATTACATTATACAATAGAATCCAAGCCCCACAGGATAAACGTCTGAAGGGTTTATTTCCCTACCTAGAAATTGGACAACGAATTGGAAAACACCAATCTACTACAAGACTTATTTTACGATCTCTTGTTTTTCATGGGTTTAGATATTTAGTAGAAAGGCTTTACTGTTGGGGATCTGTTTTCTCAAGGAATATCATGGTTCGAATATAAAGCCTAACGTTCTTGTTTATACTATACTTTCAGATCTCGTATGATTTTTTTTTTCTATTGAGATGTGTTTTGTAGTATTGTTTATAAGAACCTTATTCCACATATGGCTGTTTATCTTCCTTTTTTTAATTTTATGATTTCTTGTGGCTGATAAACAAATGTGTGACTTCAGTAAGGGTAGATTGGCATTAATCTGGCCACTCATTTCTTGAAACACTAATTTTCAACAATGGAGGACAGTCCTCCTAGACTGAGACACATGGTAGATCCGATACAAAATGTGAATTGGAACTCCCCTTTGTCTATTGTCCAAATTCAATGGTCAATCTGACCACGGACTGTGGTTTTACTGCCAATGTTAATGTTAACATAAAAGAGTGGGGTTTTAGTTGATCAATGTATTTTTTTATCTGCACGTTTATTAATGCGTATTTACATGTGTTGCTTTGCTCTGAATTTATCCAAGTTAATATATGTAAATACAATGTACAAAGATCCGACTTAACAGAGTTCTAGATCACTGGAATATATGGTTTATATTTTTGTGTGTTTATGTAAATATTCTGCTAATGAAATGGAATCTAGAACCCAGGTATCAAAGCTGGAAAATATTAATCAATTATTGAAGCTATTTTCATATTTAAATGCACCTTATTATATGTGACACTTTATTAAGTATAGCATAATAACATGATGTACTAAATCAGGGAAACCATATGCACACTGGATTTTAGGTTTAAGGATCTGTATTTTGATTTTAAAAATGGATATGTCTCTGGGGAATTTACACCCACTGTCTTTCCATCAAACCCTTTATCTTTAAAATAAGGTACTGATATGTATTCTTCATAATATGCTTATTTAGTATCATAGATCCTATTGAAATACTCATGTATTTAATTTCTAAACATTATAATTCTAGTGAAGGTTACTAAACTATCAGAGATATTCATTAAAATTGTGATTTGTCGGGAATCAATCAGGAAAATGTAATTTAAGGCCAAATTAGCCAATATGGGGAACAGAATTAAAATATTCAACTCAGCTATTTTCCCACTAAGCATCATAACCACTATAATTTATTGTAGTGGCAATGGTTCTAGGAGTGCTTTGATGCTTTACCATTATAAGAAGTTAAACCATTTAGATCAGTTTGACTTCTTACCTGACAACTGCACGGTACTACTCTCTGCCTTGACTTCTAACATTGGAGAGCTGGAAGCACCTAAGAAGGAACTTCTGATAGCTCTCTTGAGATAAGCCATGCACTTCACTGTTAAACCATTGGAAATTATTTATTGGTTTAAGGGAACATGACACCAGGGGAATCTGGGCACTATAACATTCAGTCATTGACATGAAGTGGGAACTGTGCTTGCAGTGTTTCTTTAATACTCTAAGACACTCTAATATCCCTTTCACTGGGTTTTAAGTTATGCATTTAAAATCAATATTTTTGATCATAGACATCTTAAATGGTAACAAGGAAGTATAATTCTTTTTTGTGAGGTGTTAAAAATTAAATTAAATGTAGAAATCCACACATATCTCCTGGAACTGGACACAAATGTCTTAGCTCTTCGTCAATCTTGTTGCCCTTTTCTGCCATCAAACATAGTTAGTAGAGGAGGAGAAAAAAAACAAAATTTTTCTGTTCTCCTTTGCATTGTGTGCACTGGTTGTGCTTGGACTGAACTGGACTGCATACCTCCAAACATTTATTGGGATTAAATTGGGATTGGTGGGTGGGCATTCAGAGCAGCATTGCCAATGACACTACATATTACAATGGTGATGCCCATATTTGGTGGCTTCTCAAAACAAAGTGTGTGGGCCCACCTATGTTAGGGGTGTACCAGCCTGTCGTCAAGCATGCTAGGCTGATAGACAACAGCCCAGCAGGCCCCTAACATACAGGACTATGCAGAGAGTGCCACTGATGCTTTCTCTGCATGGTCCTAATTGCCGTCCCACAATAAAATCTAATATATTGTTAGTGCTGTGCTGCCTGGAAACAGTTTCCTGGTGTCCCTGAATGTGGGACACCAGGGATCAATATTGAGATGGCAGGATTGGCACACATTGCACTGAAGGAATAGAAATAAAACTTTTGGTTTCTTTTTCTGCACCTCCAGAAATGCGTAAAACCATGAGTGACAAGAAGTCACAATTTAGGCAATTTAAATGGTATTGCTTTTTAAATTTAATTCCATTTTTCAGATCTCAAAACACATATTAGTTAAATATAGGAAACAAGTTAACATTAGTGTGATGGTTGGTGAGTGTGGTCTCTTTACCCATCCATACCCCTGCATTATTCTAATTTTGTTTCTGTATAAAGTCTAACGTTTATTTCAACTATTATGTTAATTTTCATTTTGGATACAAACATTACAAAGACAATGAAATATAAATCTATTTAAGAAACCATGATTAAATGAGATGTTTGTGGCTCTTTAACATTATTGTCTCTGACTTTTTTTATGTACCTACCACTACCTTGAAGTTAATCCCACTTTGTGTTTTTCATTTTTTATGGACACTCGAAAATGTTAAGTTACAGTATATTCATGTTAAATCTCTTCTGAATTTTAGATGTAATCTCAGTTGGGAATTTTTGTGGCTTATTTTAAAAAGATAAATTATTAAAATATGTGATGTTGAAGGCAGCAACAATGAATGTTAAAAATAATTTGTGTTGATTTTTCTTTCTTTTTTTGCTTTAACTGTGAAAACATTTCTGATGATTGTAATTAAACAAATTCTAATAAATGTTATAACAATGTATTCTACTTGGTTTATTTTATATTGACCTTTTCTAACACAGCAGTGTTGCACCTATATTATGCCAATCAGGAGATATCTTCTCAAGAGAAGCAAAATGTAGTATTTTGTTTGATATTGATGTAAATGATACAGATGTAAATGATACAGATAAGAAGAAGAATGAAACCATTGATCACTGGCAGGATTCTGGTTGCAGAAGCTGTTTATGTACATGGCTGTACGCCTTTCATTACTCCAGATCTGTAAGGTTCTCACTTTGTTCTCATAGGAAGCCATTGCTTTACTTTGATTGGCTCCAATTTGGAAAGTGAAGAGCAAATACCAGACTAGCATCTAAGAAGCTGCTAGTCTGAAGAAAACACAATGGTAAAACTTCACAAAGCTATTTTAACAAATGCAACGTAAAATATAAGGTGGATCAGTTTTAGAACTTTGCCCTTTTTTTACTTCATATCAGGGAATGGGTGAAAAAGCCCTAAGCAGACTGAGCACACTAGCAATTATTATTATGATATTTATAGAGCGCCGTCAGATTCCGCAGCGCTTTACAATGGGTGGACGAACAGACATGTAGTTGTAATCAGACAAGTTGGACACACAGGAACAGAGGGGTTGAGGGCCCTGCTCAATGAGCTTACATGCTAGAAGGAGTGGGGTAAAATGACACAAAAAATTTAAGGATAGTATTAGACTAGTGACAGTTGCAGAAGAGGAATCAGTCAGGAGCTATTAACAGTTTAATTGATACGCTTTTATGAAGAAGTTGGTTTTTAATGATTTTTTGAAGTAGTGGAGACTGAGTGAGCATCTAACGGAGGAGAGAAGCAAGTTTCACAGGAACGGTGCAGCCCTCGAGAAATCTTGAAGGCGAGCTTTAGAGGTGGCAATGCGGACAGAAGATAGACGTAAGTCTTCCGCAGATCATAAGGGCCTAGATGGGACATACTTGTGTATAAGGGAGGATAAATAGGTGGGAGGAGCATTATGTAGAGATTTGAAGGCAAGAACCAGAATTTTAAATTATATATATTTTTTCTATATTTTATAGGAAGCCAATGTAGGGACTGACAGAAGGGTGAGGCATGGGAGGTGTGGGCAGACAGGAAGATGAGCCTCGCCGCCGCATTCTTTATGGACTGTAATGGCGCAAGTTGGGAGCACGTAAGACCACTGAGAAGCGGATTACAGTAGCCAAGGCGAGAAAGGACAGTGGAATGGACCTTAGTCGAATCTGGCGTTAAGTAGAGGGCAGATGCGCGCAATGTTTTTGAGATGGTAATGACAGGATTTGGCGATAGATTGAACATGAGGCTTGAAGGAAAGGTCAGAGTCAAAGAAAACACCTAGGCAGCGACCCTGCGTGGTGGAGCTGATGGTAGCACCGTTGACTTGGAGGGAGTAACAACACTTGAGGGAGGAAAGATCAGAATTTCAGTTTTGGTCAAGTTTAGTTTAAGGAAGTGGGCAGCCATCCAGTTAGAAACAGCAGAGAGGCAGTCAGAGACACAAGTAAAGAAGAGACGGGGAGAGATCAGGAGAGGACAGGTAGATTTGCGTGTCATCTGCATAGAAATGATATTGGAAGCCAAAGGAGCTAATGAGTTTACCAAGGGAGGCAGTATAGATGGAGAACAGTAGGGGACCAAGGACTGAACCTTGGGGGACACCAACAGAGAGGAGTTGGGGAGAAGAAGCAGAGCCAGAGAAAGAAACACTGAAAGAGCACTGGGAGAGGTAGGAGGAGCACCAGGAGAGCAATATCTTGTAGACCGATATTGCGGAGGATGAGAAGAAACTGTTGATGATCAACAGTGTCAAAAGCCGCAGACAGGTCAAGGAGAATTAGGATAGAGTAGTGACCACGAGATTTTGCAGCGAGTAGATCATTGGATACTTTGGTCAGTGCCGTTTCCACAGAGTGCTTAGCGCAGAAACCAGACTGAAGCGGGTCTAGCAGAGAGTTGGACTCGAGCAAGTCTGTCAATCTCGCATACACAATTTTATCAAGGATCTTGGATGCAAAAGGCAGTAGCGAGATAGGACGATAGTTGTATGGGGAGTTAGGGTCAAGATTGGGCTTTTTAGAATTGGGGTTACAGTTGCATGTTTGAAGGGCAATGGAAATATACCAGAGGAGAGAGAGAGATTTAGAATTTTAGTGAGAGATTGAGAAAGAGAAGAAGACAGAGTATGGATGAGATGCGAGGGAATTGGATCTAGGGAGCAGGTGGTGGGGCGGGAGGACTGGAGCAGAGCAGAAGCCTCTTCCAATGTAGTGGGTGCGAATGAACATAGAACAGCAGAGGGAGTGAAGTTAGGGGAAGTATTGTAAGGGGAAGAAGAAAGATGAGAGATCTCTTCTCTGATTGTAAAGATCTTGTCAGTGAAGTGAGTTGCAAAGTCTGAGGCGGTCAAGTTAGTAGGTGGAGGAGGAACAGCAGGGCGAAGAAGAGAGTTAAATGTGTGAAATAGTCGTTTGGGTTCGTGGGAAAGTGTGGTTATGAGGGTATTGGAGTAATTAACTTTTGCAGAGGAAAGAGCCAAGCTGTATGAGCTCAGCATAAATTTATAGTGGAGAAAGTCACATGCACAGTGAGACTTTCTCCAACAGCATTCAGCAGTTCTGGAGCATTTTTGAAGGTATCGAGTGGGCTTGGTGTGCCAGGGTTGTTGTTGGGGGGGCCTGCGGCGTTTAAATGTACAAGGTGCCATGATGTCTAGTTGAGAGGAGAGGGTGGAATTGTAGAAGGAGGTTGCAGAACTAGGACAGGTGAGGTTTGAGATAGGTAAAAGGAGAGTTTGGAGATTAGTGGAGAAATGCTCTAGGTCAAGACATTGGAGGTTTCTGTGAGAGTGATGTTCAGACGGTGGTGTCAATTGGGTCTTAGGTATGCCAATGTCAAAAGTCAGCAGATGGTGGTCAGATAGAGGAAAAGGAATATTGGAGAGATTAGAGGCAGTACAGAGGTTGGTGAAGGCAAGATCAAGAGTGTTTCCTGCTGTATGGGTTGCTAAATAGTAAAGCAATAGTTTTTGAAGGTTACAATAGCAACTTGTAATACTCTAATGTGCAGATGTTTGGTGGTACTGTACATTTTGTATAGGCCCTATACTGAAATTAGTTTTACATTCTGGGCATTTCTACTGTGCACATTTTACAAACCATAGTTTATATTTTACAAGAGAAGGGATGCTATGCACTCTATGTTGCAATTTAGATTTCATTTTTTTTTTTTTTATCAATTAAGTAATCATTTATTGAAACATTGAAGGATGTCCCTGTAACATGAAATGTATGTTTTTACTCTACTTTGTATATTTATATATCCCTTATTTAAAACAAATTTGATGGGTTTTTTTATGCAAAGAGCTTGGAAGAAGTTAACAGATATCAGGGCTGGACTGGGGATACAAACAGCCCTGGGGAAAAAAATCTATGCCAGCCCCAGAAGTAATTGTGCCATGTATTGTCACATGTAATATGTAAGGCTATGTCTTGCCAGCCCAGATGATTGAGTAATATTTAAACACACATATATATATATAGTCTCTGTTCACTTGCACTCCAGTTAGTATAAATAATAGTGCCCTGGCTGGTCCGCAATAATATATACATATAGGTAATGATAGCGCTTCAAGGACTTTTAGAAAATTAAAAAATAAAACTTAGCTTTTATTCAGGTTGTTGCCAGTAAAAAGATCAATGTTCCAGTTCCAATTTAAACATCCTGAACACAGTTCCTTTGGAACTGGAACATTGATCTTTTTACTGGCAACAACCTGAATAAAAGCTAAGTTTTATTTTTTAATTTTCTAAAAGTCCTTGAAGTGCTATCATTATATATATATATATATATATATATATATATATATATATATATATAAAATAGTATGTGTTTATATATTACTCAGTCATCTGGGGTGGACACAGCTGTACATATTACTGGTTAATATATACATATTATATATATAATATACATATACATACACACACATATAATTTCTTTTTTAATATAAAATATTAGTCCTTTCAGAGTAAAACACTTAATTATACAGTAAGCATACTCACGTGCAGACACAGACAATCTCACTTACAAACACAAACTCACTGATACACAGCCTCATAGACAAACAATCTTACTGAAACACACAGAAAAGCTTATTGGTATACACACACACACACAAACGTAGTACAGACAAACTCTGACACGCACAAGCTTACTACAGACAAGCTCACTGTCACACACACGCTCACTGAATCATACATGCTCACTAAAGACAAGCTCACTGACAGACACATGCTCTATACAGACAAGCTCACTGATGCACACATGCTCCCTACAGACAAACTCACTGACGCACCCATGTTTCCTACAGACAAGCTCACTGACACACACTCACTACAGACATTTAAAAAAAAAAATTAGAGTGAGGAAGATAGACAGATCTATAAGATTGGGCAGAAATAGGCTAAACAAGTTATAAGAGCTTCCAAATCTCACACACAAGAGAAAATATCACAGTCAGTAAAAAAAAGGGGGGGGGGACAAAACATTTTTTAGATACATAAATGAGTAAAGGAAAGTAAAACAAGGATTAGTTAGATTAAAAACAAAAGAAGGAAGGTATGTAGAAAAGAATAAAGGTCTAGCTGACTGCCTCAATTAATATTTTTGTTCAGTATTTACAGATGAAAATGAAGGAGAGGGGCCTCAGTTAGACAAATGGACAAATTAGTCATTTGTTACATGCGAGTTTACAGAGGAAGAGGTTCTATTTCAACTGTCAAAAGTAAAGACAAATATTCAATGAGACCTAATGGAATACACCTAAAGTTATTAAAAGAGCTTAGTGGTGAACTAGCAAAACCATTAACAGATTTATTTAACCAATCGTTTTTGTTTTGTTTTTTTGAATTCTTTATTTTTGCAGTGCTTAGGTTTTACACACACGCTT